GAGTGACCAGGGCAAAATGCTGCTTTTATGTCCAAGTTACATTAGCACCACGGACACTACAGACAAGCGACTTGGTGACTCTATGTCTCGGCTAGTAATTAATAACTAAGCATTAGGCTGGCAGGGGGTTTCCAGCATTTTTGAGCAAGGGCCCTTAACCCTTAGGCTGCTATATTGATTTCTATGTAAACGGACACCACTGCTGAATTAATTATTGAAATTTAAATTAATTTACTTGATTTTTCAAATGTGCTTAACTTGGAAAATATTCACACTTCCTGGCTACCGATCAAAGCCTACAGACCGAGAAACGACTATAGTCATGCGTAGCACTGACGGCCCGACTTTTCAAAACGACTATTGTTGTGCGTAGCAGCCTAAGGGTTAATGCAGAAATTGGGGAAAATATCATCAACATTTGGCACAAATTAAGAAAATATCATAATTTGGAAAAAAGTTGAAAAAAATAAATTTAGTTCAACCTCTGCAGTGAAAACTCTTTTGCAAGATTTGAATGTTGTTGCTTCCACTGTTAACTTTAGATATAGGTTTAGGTTGTAGAAATGAACATAGTGGGTCCTAAATATGGGCTGGTTGTTCAGATTGTAAAGGGCTCTGTTAATGTAAATGCACACTAACTCTACAACTTCATAAAATATGGTTCATTAATCGTGGACCAAAAGGTTTACAAATTCATACCGACACTATTTTTATCAACAAAATGCTTTGCAAATTTAAACAGCAAGTGCCTAATAGCAACCTTTACTCACCTTCCGTGCAGCAGCCTTTTTCCATTTGCGCTCTTGCTGAAAGTCAGCTGCCAGCCATTGCATCTCCTCCAGAAGGTAGTCCCAGTGGCTTTTGTTCCGCGGTGGCTCCTGAACCTTTGGCAATCGCCGTGATGACCATAGGCCCTCCTTGCGCAGTTCTGCCACACGCTGCATCACCTGTGCTTCCTGGTATACAAAATCACATATTCTCAATATACATAGTAAAATAAATATACTGATCAAGGACTTAAAACAATGGAAAATGATTATCAAGTAATTAAATAAACGGTAAATTTTACTTAATTTTCAAACGACTGACAGGTCAGCAAGGCGGCCAATGCCTTGCAGTAGGCCCCCATCACTCAAATCTTTTTCATTAGTAACCGTGACTCTCTCCCAGTATTTTAGTAAGTGACCTTGACCTTGAGAGAAAAAAAATCAAACTCTCATTGCACATCTACATCACAATGTATCAACATGTCGAATTTCAACAAGGTTTGTCTTGGAATCTTGAGATAATCTCCTGAAGCAAGTGCTGAGGAACAGATTAAAGTAATGTCTCAATTTCCATTGCCATAAATGGTAAAGGTTCACCATGCATGGAAGCAGAATTGTGTTAATCTCCCACATTCACACTTAGTGTACAGCAAGTGACCAGACAAACTAGACCTTACTGCTGTCAAGTGGTATACATTAATCTTCATCAAAGGCTAATGGGCTTCACAACACTGAACATCCGAGAAATAGTAAAACTTTGGTTGGAGGATATCATTTTTAGGACTTTGAAATCCCAGAAAATCAGAAATTCCAACATAGTCTTACCTGTTTGGCTCTCTCCACTATGGCCTCCTGTGAGCCAATGGAACCATCGTAAATGTTAGATATTGTGTGTTGGCGTGTGTGAAGACGGACTGTCTCACCAGGAGAGGTGGGAGGAGACTTTGGCATACGCATCATTGTCGACGGCTGACTTAATCTGTTAAACAAATGTGATTGATAATTCACAAGACAAAGAAAAATCTGAAATCTTCCTTCCTACCATGAAAATCTTCTTTACAACATGTTGCCAGCGATTTTGGTGACCGTCCACTCAACTATACCAAAGTGCCAGCACATATGGCTGTAGTTCATGTCCGAGTTACATAGCACCAAGATCTCTAGACAAGTGGCAACTAATGTCTCGGCAAGAAACATCAACAATCTCTCATTTCTTCATGCTGGTATAATCTTATGGTAATTAATTTTGTTTAATTAATTCTGTATATTTTATAGCCACTTCATTTTGTGTGGTAAAAGTTTCCTGATTTTCTTCATGGAACAAATTCATAGGGTTTCACTTGGTGCAGTTCATAATATCCTTAATCACATATTTTATCCAACCCTATGCATGTGACTAGCAATTTTAGTGACCAAAATTTAAAATCACATATTCTCAATATACATAGTAAAATAAATATACTGATCAAGAACTTAAAACAATGGAAAATGATTATTAAGTTTAATTAAATAAACAGTAAATTTTACTTTATTTTCAAAAGACTGACAGGTCAGCAAGGGTCCCCTGCCAATGCCTTGCAGTAGCCCCCCCATCCCTCAAATCTTTTTCATTAGTTACTGTGACCTTGACCTTTAAAATTCCTTTTGCAGATACACATATCAGTGTTTCACCATGTCAAATATCAAGAAGATTGATGTTTTTTTATTCCCAAAAGGACTCTCCCCCAGTATTTTAGTAAGTGACCTTGACCTTAGATTTTTTTTCAAACTCCCATTGCACATCTACATCACAATGTATCAACATGTCGAATTTCAACAAGGTTTGTCCTGGAATCTTGAGATAATCTCCTGAAGCAAGTGCTGATGGACAGATAAAAGTAATGTCTCAATTTCCATTGCCATAAATGGTAAAGGTTCACCATGCATGGAAGCAGAATTGTGTTAATCTCCCACATTCACACTTAGTGTACAGCAAGTGACCAGACAAACTAGACCTTACTGCTGTCAAGTGGTATACATCAATCTTCATCAAAGGCTAATTAATGGGCTTCACAACACTGAACATACGAGAAATAGTAAAACTTTGGTTGGAGGATATCATTTTTGTTTAATTCTGTAAATTTTATAGCAACTTCATTTTGTGGGGTAAAAGTTTCCTGATTTTCTTCATTGAACAAATTCATAGGGTTTTACTTGGTGCAGTTCACAATATCCTTAATCACATAGTTTATCCAACCATATGCATGTGACTAGCAATTTTAGTGACGGACAACACTACATAGAGTGCCTGCACATAAGGCTGCAATTTATATCCGAGTATCATCAGCACCAGTCAGACACTACAGAGCAGCAACTAGGGGACTATGTCTCAGCAACATAGCCCTTAATTTTCTTTAAACATATCAGTAGATAAGCATAATGCTGTGTTTCTGTTACACAGATTTGTTATAAACCCCACTTTGACATTGAAGTACTTTGGTAAGGTCTAAATCACCTAGTCATTGTCCTATCCACATCTTACATGTACCTTGAAGTGTTCTGTTAGGACTTAAGACACAACTGTTAACAAAAAAACAATCTTTAATGGTCCTATTGACCAATATGGCCCCTAAAAAATCTTCTGTAAGGACTGAGGTGACCAACAGAAGCCTTGCTATGGATCCAACACAGACCTGAAAGTGTCTTGCTGATTGTATATATTGCAAGGTCTGTACTTACATTGGCGTGGTGTGTGTGGTCTTGGTTGCGAGTGTTGTGTGTACCACAAGTGGCTTTGTATCCGCTGCCTTTGACATCTGACTCTGTAGTTGTGGCATAGACACTGTTGCCACTGTAGATGTTGTAAGGGTTGTCGTGCTGTTGGTGGTTGTACTTGCAGCTGTTCTTTGGCTCGGTGCTACATATCGGAAGAAAGCGGACATTTCACACACTTGCTCAGTTTTCTTCATACAGAAAGATGACAGCTCTTTCACCAAAATATATCAATTCTAGGGTGCAAATTTGCAGATACTCAAAAAATAATATAAGGATTCACTCGGGGGCACACAAAAACAATTCCTTACTTAGACATTCTTATCCCTAGAGAACCACATTAATTATGAGATTTATCTGATTTGAATAAAATCATTCATGCATCACTGTTGCTGTACATTACACTGAAGTGTAGGGCCTGACATCAGGGGTCAGATGCACTTTCTGGAGACCTATCTGGTCTGGAGGCTTTGTATTAAAAAGTGTGTGCAGTGGATTCTCGGTTAACTGAACTCTGTCCAATCCAGACCTTTGTCTAAACAAGCAAAACTATTTGGTCCTTGCTAAATTCTCTTTAAATACAGTAATAAAAACCTGGCTAATCTAGACTCTGTCTATTCTGTAAACAGGCCTTATTCAACGGTCCCATGCCTACACATCTAGATTATGTACTCTGTAATCTGTCATCAGATCTTGTTCTGATCTAGTGCATGTGTTTATTCAGTCCTAATTACTAGACAAGAAAGTTAACTGTTCGCTGGTCAATTTCAACTTACCCAAGTAGATACACTTAATTAACATCTGAGCACTCATTACTTATAATAATGAAATAAGTTACGTATGTCCTTGTGACATGAAATGTGTTCTAGTCATATCGGTGATAATAAATAAAACGATAATTGCATATTTATATCACAAGAACAAATACTTGTACAAGTGTATATGAACAAAACATAGTATTCATATAGATGTATTCTCAGTACTCATTACATTCGGCAATGTTTCAAAAGTAGCCTGTCCAATACGGAACTCTCTACAAAGCCAGTAATTTTGTCTCGATGTTACCTGGTTGAGACAAGAGTCCACAGTAAAATATATCCAGATAATGAACATGACCTCTGATGGTGTAGTGTATTGTAGAGAACTATCCAGATAATGAACATGACCCCTGATGCAATGGTGCAGTGTACTGAAGAGAATTATCCAGATAATAGACATGACCTCTGATGTAATGGTGTAGTTTACTGAAGAGAATTATCCAGATAATGGACATGACCTCTGATGTAATGGAGTAGTGTACTGTAGAGAATTATCCAGATAATGGACATGACCCCTGATGTAATGGAGTAGTGTACTGTAGAGAATTATCCAGATAATGAACACGACCCCTGATGTAATGGTGTAGTGTACTGTAGAGAATTATCCAGATAATGGACATGACCCCTGATGTAATGGAGTAGTGTACTGTAGAGAATTATCCAGATAATGGACATGACCCCTGATGTAATGGAGTAGTGTACTGTAGAGAATTATCCAGATAATGGACATGACCTCTGATGGTGTAGTGTATTGTAGAGAACTATCGAGATAATGAACATGACCTCTGATGGTGTAGTGTACTGTAGAGAACTATCCAGATAATGGGCATGACCTCTGATGTAATGGTGTAGTGTACTGTAGAGAATTATCCAGATAATGGACATGACCCCTGATGTAATGGAGTAGTGTACTGTAGAGAATTATCCAGATAATGGACATGACCTCTGATGTAATGGAGTAGTGTACTGTAGAGAATTATCCAGATAATGGACATGACCCCTGATGTAATGGAGTAGTGTACTGTAGAGAATTATCCAGATAATGAACACGACCCCTGATGTAATGGTGTAGTGTACTGAAGAGAATTATCCAGATAATAGACATGCCTCTGATGGAATGGTGTAGTGTACTGTAGAGAATTATCCAGATAATGAACACGACCCCTGATGTAATGGTGTAGTGTACTGAAGAGAATTATCCAGATAATGGACATGACCTCTGATGTAATGGTGTAGTGTACTGTAGAGAATTATCCAGATAATGGACATGACCCCTGATGTAATGGTGTAGTGTATTGTAGAGAATTATCCAGATAATAGACATGACCTCTGATGGTGTAGTGTATTGTAGAGAACTATCCAGATAATGGACATGACCTCTGATGGTGTAGTGTATTGTAGAGAACTATCCAGATAATAGACATGACCTCTGATGTAATGGTGTAGTGTACAGAAGAGAATTATCTAGATAATGGACATGACCTCTGATGGTGTAGTGTACTGAAGAGAACTATCCAGATAATGAACATGACCCCTCATGTAATGGTGTAGTGTACTGTAGAGAATTATCCAGATAATGAACACGCCCCCTGATGTAATGGTGTAGTGAACTGTAGAGAACTATCCAGATAATGACCACGACCCCTGATGTAATGGTGTAGTGTACTGTAGAGAATTATCCAGATAATGGACATGACCTCTGATGTAATGGTGTAGTGTACTGTAGAGAACTATCCAGATAATAGACATGACCTCTGATGTCATGGTGTAGTGTACTGAAGAGAACTATCCAGATAATAGACATGACCTCTGATGTAATGGTGTAGTGTACTGTAGAGAACTATCCAGATAATGAACACGACCCCTGATGTAATGGTGTAGTGAACTGTAGAGAACTATCCAGATAATGAACACGACCCCTGATGTAATGGGGTAGTGAACTGTAGAGAACTATCCAGATAATGAACACAACCTCTGATGTAATGGTGTAGTGTACTGTAGAGAATTATCCAGATAATGGACATGACCTCTGACGGTGTAGTGTATAGATAATAGACATGACCTCTGATGTAATGGGGTAGTGTACTGAAGAGAACTATCCAGATAATGAACCCGACCCCTGATGTAATGGTGTAGTGAACTGTAGAGAACTATCCAGATAATGACCACGACCCCTGATGTAATGGTGTAGTGTACTGAAGAGAGCTATCCAGATAATAGACATGACCTCTGTTGTAATGGTGTAGTGTACTGAAGAGAACTATCCAGATAATAGACATGACCTCTGACGGTGTAGTGTATTGTAGAGAACTATCCAGATAATGAACACGACCTCTGATGTAATGGTGTAGTGTACTGAAGAGAACTATCCAGATAATAGACATGACCTCTGATGGTGTAGTGTATTGTAGAGAACTATCCAGATAATGAACACGACCTCTGATGTAATGGTGTAGTGTACTGTAGAGAACTGGAATGAGGAATTTTGTTTTAATTAGCAGGCAGATAATTTCATCAACAAAAGATTAAGTCCTGAAATAAAGCATTGAGAATTCGAAGTAATAACCAGTACCTTCTGTTCGTAAGTTTGTAGTTATAGAAATAATATGAAGCTCTAAATATTACTAAGCTCAATGATGTTCTTTGTTTGAATACTGCTAATTATTGCAAAAGGAAAATGGTATATACTTTAAAACATGAAATGAAAGCTGGCTCAGATTGTAGCATGGAACTGTCTGTCCAAAATCAACCACCCTTCCCTGCTGATGATATTCAGGAAGTGGCAAAGTTAAAACAGAAGCTAACAATAACATAACAATCATTGTATAAATCCTTCACCTTGAAAGCAGATATTGAGCCAAATATTACTCTCAAAAAAAAATCTTTCTTTCATAGTCTATAGTTTAAATAATGATAAAATTTGATGGCACCTCAAAAAACAATCAACTAGCAAGAACAGATAACTACAAATCTTAACTTTCCTTAACCCCCCGAGGAAGCATCTAACTCGCTTGTTCTCCAGCATTCCTCCATACGAACCCATCTGTCATTAAAGTGTTGTTACTATTGATCAACCTGTTGATTTACCTTGGTAACAGAGTAGTAAGAGCCAGGCTTACACTAAATGCTTACTTACAGGTTTTACATAAACATAACCTTACTATAGAAAACTTCAAGTCAGACAAGGGTTCTGTATGGAAGCATGCCACAGAACAAGACCTCAAACGCATTAAGTGCTATGTCCCATGCTTGCAGTCACCCAAATCTCATTCCACCATGCCCTGTTGCCCAGCAAGAGAAGATCATAAACAATGAATACAAGTCAATGGTTGACTTTTCATGTGAGCAGGTCTAGCATTTTCATGAGATTTTACTGAACATGTCACATACTTTTTTCATGCCAAGTGATGTCATGTAGCAAAATTGATTCGAAATATAACTTCCATTGCAACATTACAAAGGTCACATGAAAGATATCATTTCTTTGGTCAATGCAGCAGGACATCCATGATGGAATGACAGATAAGACTGTTAATTACCCATCTTCACAGTAACCATACCCACTGTTGTTGTCTCTACATGATGCCTTGATCCAACCAAGAACAAAAATAACTGACAGAGATTTAAAAAAGGCTTTGAATGCAATAGAGTTCATTATCATTTTGAGACATACACATTTTTGTATCAAGAACTCATCAATTGACTTGGCATTTAAATAGAGCCTTACTGGATCAAACCAACCAAATGTTAACAAGAATGGTTCTATAGCTACTGTGGCGATGGCAGGACCCAGCCTGGTTGGGTGGGTGGTTCTATACAAACTGGTGAGCACCTGTTTGCGTTGGCCCCGTGTGAGGCTGTGCCGGCACCACTGTGGACTGTGAGGACGAGGAAGAGGAGGAGGAAGAGGTGGGAGGAGTGTGTGGCACGGAGGGCACACTGGAGGACGAGGAGCAAGCCAGAGCCGGCTGTACATGGCCAAACACCATACCATGCCGACCTCCCGGCCGCCGAGTCTCAAAACCTGCAGCACCAAAACACACCACCTCATTCACCAACGTCTTTACTACAACAAGGGTCTAGAATATCACCTCAGTTACTGCAACAAGGGCCAAGCAATATGTAAGGTCACTGTAATTATAAATATCACTTCATCACAAGAATGTTATATGACCATAACTTACTAAAAACTTCCCAGATCTAAGATGAAGGTCAAACTTTATCTTCCAGCAAGTAACCGATACAGAAATAGGGTCAATTCCTTTTACTATAACAAGCGCCTAATATCAATGAAATGTACGAAACTAGGGCCAAAGAGCACCATTGATAAATGGCAAACAGCATTGCCAACTACGATTGCAACTTTAAAGTCACAGGCTTATGCTATATGACTTTTTATTGGTTGTTGTAGACTTATACTATTCACTATGAAAACTAATTCATTATAGTTAATAACTATGCATACTGTCAAGTGTACAAGGTCTCTTTGACTATATAACTTTGTACTAGTTTAAAAGTAGGAAGTCACAATGTTAACTTGAATTGGCCCAAATTGGCAAAATGATGAATGTTAAATATAAACTCAAGACACTATTTTTCCAATTTATTGTTTTGACCATGAATAGTAACTTTTAGATCTGCTGTACTTTAGCAACCCTACAATGGCTTTGATTCATGACTACTGGCTACTGATAACTAGTATGGATACATTTATTATTGTATAGTATAGACACATATATGGAAATCTGTTTGCTTTCACTATATTGTAAAGAAGCCAGACCCTTGCATTGATACAGTAAAGATTTCCCTTATATTAAATCATCTTTATGGTCAACTATACATTACAAAAAGATCTGTATAGTAACTTTTTAAGATAAGATCATAATGCTTTATCTTACATAAAATAAATTATTAACTTTCATAGAAAAATTAATTATTTGCATTGTTCAGAAATTGAAAGTAGAATCATTCCTTCAAAAGAATGCATATATCCTTTATAAACCAAAAGCATATTGATTTTTTAAACGTTTTATATAAAGTATATAGCAAATTTAGCACTTTGTTAAAATAGCAATCTTTAAAATAAAATACATCTATCGCAAATATAGCTATACTTTATTGATGCAAAGCCACAACACCCATTCAGGTTACACACCAATTCAGACTATATTTTTTGAATGGCCGTCAGATTTACTTAACCTACATCCCCTAATGTAAACTTTCTTCATAGACAGCAATTATTGCTGGTAAAGAGTATATGCTAAGGAAACAAGAACCACATAATAAACTAAAGATGACGACAGGCAGGGTAATAAAAGAAAGGTTTGGGAGGTCAGTCTACTTTCTACAATCCACAGTGAGCCGAGCACAGGCAAAATTAAAAGGAACAGAAGGCACAGTGTGTATATACATAATGTAAAGCAGACAACATCAAATCACAAGGCCTGTTCAGCCACAATGTAAACTGAAGAAGATTCAACTCATCATGAAAGCCAAATACATCTTCACATATCCTGCACATTCCAATCATGTCAGCTATGGGCTCAAAATACACCATTAAATAAGGAAACAGTTTCGGAATGTGTCACTGTCACCATATATATAGAAGCAGTTTTGGAAGATGTCATTATGTTTTAATTTACACAGCATTTCCCCAAAAAATATTTTGGAGAACATATGCTCTTTTGCCATACCAATTTTATTTACACCTTGTAAATCAGAAATTGAACGGATAGATTAGACCTATGATTTCCCCAACAAAGTCACAGATTTTAATCTATCTTAAAGGTTGTTTTTTTTGGAATTTCAAAAAGGTTTCTAATCAAAAGTTTTGTTTTAGAATCATTTTTAGTTCTTTAGTAAAGTGGTCTTGACAAATTATATGCTTATGCAATCAAATGAAAAAGTCTATGTTAGTCAAAGAATAAATGTGACAATTAGGAACAATAATATCCATTCATACTGAAATACAAACAAGAATACAAGTTACAATAATAACACATAACTTAAATACACGAGAAACTATCAACTAAAACATTAACCATGACAGTTTTTGTTCTATCTAGTAGTGTTATGGGAATCGTTTGTAAATTCATACTCCATCATCACTTCCAATCAAATGTCTGATGATCGATCAAATTGAACTTAAATTCAGTAATTTAAGGTTATATTCGCTTTCCGATATCTACTTTCACTTTCTTTAACGGGGAAGCCCCAATGTTAGAGAATTTCGCTAATAACACACAACATTCATACAAAAAACAATAAGTTTGTTACAGAACCTTATAATTATTAAGAAATATGTATTTGGAAATGAAATTGATGTTTGCAATGTAAACCAGCTCCGATAGCTGCATCTCGTATTCAGAAATGCAGCGATGGATTGGTATTCACTTGATGACACCCCGTCAAACTTTAAATTTTATTTGTAAGATGGCCCACACTTTCGACAAAGCGTTTTATTTATCTTCAGTGAAGGACAAACAATACCTTCGAAACGTTTAAATCAGTAGCCCCCGGATGATCATAGATTTTAATCTCCGGAATGTCCTGGTTTGCCATATTGTCACACACTGACTGAGCCATGCAGCATTTCTGTTGAAACGCAAGTTATGATTGGTTGTCGGGGGTGGACCAGCTAGCCAATCAGCGTCTTTGATACAGCTAGCCAATCAGTGTCTTTGATGTGCGATAAGTGCGGTTAAGTTGTTTTGCCCAAGAACGAACAACTCGCTGTCGGCGTTAATAACAGTATCCAAGTTTATATTTTGTTAATACTTAAATTAGTCCAACTATAATCGATCATGGAAAACAAGTTTCGATTAATCGATTTTCAGAAACAAACAACCAGAAGTCGACTAAATTGATTAATCGAAACAATACTACTATCTAGAAAAAAACAGCAAAAAGAACAAGTAATCAAACTTAACATATGTCAAGTACTTGATTCTTTGCTTAAACCCGATTGACCAGGGGAAAAAACACTAACTGAAAACTATGTCATTGAAATTTGGAATTTCATCATTTTTGAATTCCAGACATTTAGTCAGTTGTCCGTTATGTTATCTTGGATTTCAAAACACATTAGAAATTTTACATCTGATGGTGTATATCCTCAATACCAAATCATGCATCGATTAAAAAGTTTTTTTTATTAAAATAAATACATGAAAAAGTTAAATTTAAATCATTTGCAAACTTGAAATCCTGGTTTGAAGTTCTAGGCAAACACATTTTGGCATTTAATTACTAAAACACAGCTCCATTCATTCAGCTTTCAAACACAACATTGGCAGAAAAGCTATATGCCACTACTACTCGCAAGCAAAAGCTTATTTTATTTTCTCGTTCTTAAATGTCTTAACAGAAAAAATAATGAAAACCCACATGTGCAAAATGTGGAAGCAGTTGATTTAATGTAGTCTTAATGTTAAATCAAAGTATTTAAATTTTAGAGTACTAATGATATATATAATAACATCACTTATTCATAATTTCTGCAGTGAAAAAAAACACAAAAAGAAAGCAATATAAACATGCAATAAAAAATATTTTTGTTTAAAAACAATATGACAATTTCAACTGCCGTGGGAAAGCTAGTATGATTGCCATGCTTTTCAACAAACAGTGAGCAAGCCAAACCCTCAAATGGAAAAAAAAACTGTTCACTTCTTTAGATAAATGTGCTTTTTATATAATGATTGCATCATGAAACTGGTGTTACAAGAAATTAAAGAATAACCTTCCATGCTTTTTTAAAACTATGAATTTCAGTATTCTTTTTGTTCTGTTCAATAATCTGTTATCATATCAATGAATGTGGATGTGTGTACATCAAGTGTTTGATACACATGCATTACAGAAGCTCAATCATGCAACACAAGTCTACTCAACAATATTGAAAATGTGTTCAAAAATAACAACAATACAGAGACATAGATAGTTTAAATCATATTGTGAATTTGACTTGTGGCAAATTACCAAATTGCTTTAAATAGGATTAATACCTCACAAGGCTAGTTAACTCAGAATACCAAGACAAAATATAAAATTCACAAAAATGTATCATTATCATTTACTAGCATCACTACATAACCAGATTGAACCTTCGGACACCGACCTTACTTTACCATAGAACAAGAATTTATGTACCATATAACGAAAGATTCTAGGGACAACTTCCTGATTTTTTATATTACAGTCAAAATGTATAGCATAAGATTGATACAAAGCATGCAAAGATGTGTGTCAAATTGAGTTTCCCTTAATATTTGACAACAAAGCCATTTTAACGCAAGTTTCTGCTAAAATAAATTCATATTTACAGTTAATACTTATGTTTGCAATACATCACATCAGATTACTTCAATAGAAAAAAGTACCAATGTTTTGAACCTACTCTTGAATTCCAACATTCACCTAGGAATATCTTTGTCAGCATTATCTAATGAAGCGAGAGTGGTGCACAAACACTGCCACACAAGCCGACATCTTACCTTGCTGATTCAGGGCAGCCACTGACGGTGGCAATGTGGTGGATATGGCCACTGGTGTTGCAAGGGGAACATTACTACCACTACATGTGATTACTTTCACCTGAAATGAAACAGATTCAAATAGCCTCCAGATTGTACTAATATATTTTACAAACTACTTATAAAACAGGTTAACAAACCTTGAATCAGACAATTGTTTCTTTTACAAACAAAGCCAATTGGATATCGGAGTGTATATTTTTATATATCTTCAAGTTATATATATAGGAAATATTAAAAATAACTAAAATTTAATGCTAAATTCAGCTTCAGTCAAATATGTTTCAATTTATTCCTAAATAGGAAACTCCTTTTTAATATAAATTGTCAAGTTTCCTTTTTAATATAAATTGTCAATCAAATTTTCAATTAAAACCAAGAAGGAATATTCATGGAACCCAATATGTCTTTTGGACACTCACCTCATTGTTGATCTTCCTCTCCTGTCCATGGTCATCCTCCTCATCACTGTCAAGGTTCCCAGACTTCAGGAAGTGTACGAGCTGGGGTGTGGGTCGCTTCTTCCATGTGTGATAATCCATCATGTTGCCGCTATTCTGAAGGAAGAACAACTCTGTGAGGTACTCTATGTAGTTTTCTTTGATCTCTATCATTTCTCTGTGCTTTTGGTCGAGAATTAGTTTCCTATTGTTGGCAATTTCTGCAGTAGCTGGGGCCTTCTCCTCAACCTTCACCTTCTTCTTAGGAGAGGGCCCCATTGCTGACTGGTTGGCTAGTGCTGTGAGGTTGGGAAATGTGTGCGTGAGGCCAAGGGGAGTTATGCTAGGTTTTGTTTCCTGTAGAACTTTCCCAACCACTAAGTTTGTCACAGATGTTGGCGCCGCAACGCCTGCTGCAACAATAGTCTTTGGGGTTTGTTGCTGTCCAGTTGGCTGAATGCTCATATTGAGAGAAGGTTGCTGAAGGTTGGCTCGAGGGGTTGGTGGGGCTCCCCGTGAAGGGCTCAGACCATGATGGTGCACTGTAGCTCCGCTGGCGCTCAAGGTCCCCACCCCTGGGGCCCCGCTGGGTGTTGTCGCTGTCACCAGGGTCAGTGTTGGTGGAACTTGCAACTCAGGTCCTGAAGGAGTGGCACCTGCCTGTCTGATCAGGGCAGTGGTGGCACCACCTGGGAATGGTCCAGTTACTGGTCTGGATACGCCAGGGCTGATCACACCCACAATACCTGGCCATACAAACAGAAATGGTTTTTAACATTCTACAAAATGGGTTTGATGAAAAAGTTGTATTCAGTGCTTTATACTGGCATTGGTATGCTACTAAGCATTACATTTCACATTCATACAAGCCTCGGTGGGTGCAGGTGTGCTTACAGTTGACTTGGCTAAACACAGCCACAACTGACTAAAACCATCACTGTAACTGAAATAATGTCTGATTTTTTTAGCCCCCCCCCCCCCCCATGCCGACAGCTTGATCTTCTTGAAAGAGAAGTCATTTGTTCCCAGCAGTAACATAAAAAAAGTTACCACTGGGGTTTTATGTTGGGTCAGAGTCACGGCTAAAAGGTCTTTAAATCTCCTTTTGCTTTGGTAACTGACCCATTACTTGTACTTGGTGAAGAACAAATCTTTACCAAAATAATTTCTGTATTTGGACCCAATTCAAAGATGGAAAATGATGTCACTGAAATCAAAAGCCTTGCTGCCTCCCAACTATATGCAGGGATTTTCCTATCATTTTATTCCCGGGTCCAGGGTCCAATGAATTGGGAATTTTTCGCGACAAAATTTGAAATTTGGGGGAAAATGAGAAATAAAATTTCTTACATTTTCCAGTTATTATTAATAAATTTTACTTATCATGAGAAATTGCATTCTTGATATTGGAATTTCTTATTTATTTTTCAATGCATAAGCTTACGTCTAGCGTACAGTATTTTTTATAATTTTATTATACTATAAATATATACGGTAGTTGTAGTATTTGTCTATTTCCTTTAAAACTAAAAGGAAAACTTTCATTTTTATTTTTAAGTCATTTATTTACCTAAACCTATTTAACAGTAAAAAAGAAAATACTGTAATAAATGTAATTGAACAGACAATAAATTGATCATTTCCAGATTCTGTGCCCGGATGTTGGTTCCCTTATTAGAAAACAAACATGGCCGACAGCATGTTATATCACACTGCCGACTTTTTGGACAGATAAACTTCAGTTCTTGTTTCTGAATTAGTTACAAAGAATGCTTCTTTGATGGTTAGTATCACTTTCTCAAGTTTTACATGTTGTACATTTGTTTTACTTTAAATCTTGCAAAAATTGCCATCCGATTGGGAATTTTTCAATGGCAAATTGGTAATTTTCGCAAGATTTTCCGAGGGGAGAGGGGCCGTTATTGTAGGAAAATCCCTGATATGACAGCAAAGAATATTTTTTTTAATATTGGTTGAAATACGTTTGTAAAACAACAGGTTACAAAACTTTTCAATCATCATTATTTAAAGCTTTTCCCAATTCTTGAGCTCTGAGCAATCATTAAAAGTGAGAGTAGAAATTGCACAAATAAATGTCGACCATTGGACCACTGTTAGAAATTTTCCAATACACTGATCAAAATAACAAGACCACAGATTATATCATTATTTAAATATCAATTTTTATTAATATCTCCATGTGTTTTGCCTCTACCTATGTTTGACATGCATAGGGCATGACGGATTGAAAATGACTCGACAGTTTATTATAATAGCTGATCATTACAATATTTTTCTCTGGTAAATTGAATATAATAAGCAAGTTCCACTGTAATATCATAGACCCATTCCACCAGGGATGTTTCATTTAATATTAGCTTGTCCAGACACCCCAGAAAAGATTTGGATACTCTTGCCCTGGAAAATGCAGTTAATAACAGAAGTGGATTTATGAAGTGTATTCGTCTTGGTTTTTAATTTTACATCCCTGCCTACAAACACCCAAAACCTTTTTTTTTAAGTTTCCAACCATCTTTGTTATTCTTTTGATCTGAAACCGATCTCTTTTTCTTAATAATGTAAACAATTTTAATTATATCCAAAAATATGAACTGTTCTGTGATGTAAATGATGAACTTGATATATAAAACCCTTTAAAACTACATTCTAAATTGTGCCAGTTTATCAATGAAAGTTCACTGTAAATACACAAGTATTTCAGTTGTTAAATCCCAATATTTCAATTAAATAATTCTAGATTCATGAGTTGATTGTTCCCAGCAGTAATCTAACAGAAGTCACTGTTGGGGTTTTATGTTGGGTCGGAGTCACGGCTCAGAGGTCGTTAAGATCTCCTCTGGCTTTGGTAACCAACCCATGTTATTCAGATTCATTGTTAGTTTTCACAGGTACAAGTTGCTGCAAATTCATCTCTTGAATAAAACATTAACAACAACAAGAGGCCCATGTACAGTATTTATTTTTGTTGTTTAATATGTTCCAATTTGAGTACAAAATAGTTAAGTATAACGTTAACTTAAGTTTGTCAGGACCATGAGCTGATCATTCCTAGACCGAGTTTCAGATCAATCGGCCCAGTAGAACTTGACTTTAAGTTTGAAATAGTTTTTCAAAATGGCGGCCGTGGGGGCCATATTGGATTTCTGATTGACCAAAAAAATAACAACACTTGGTCAGGGAGATGTCGGTACCCTCCTCATGAAATATTAATGAAATCCCTTTGCCAGTATTTCAGCTTAAGTTGAAAATGTAAAATGTTAATGGAAGGACGACGACGGATAGCAGTAGGTCACTTGAGCTAAAGTGGCCTAAAAATGCCAACCTTACTTTAATACAACACAGTTTATTCATCAATATCTATAGCACTTAAATTAAATATTGAATTTTTCAAAATATTTGAGGCATTGCTTTTCTTCCCTTTCAACATCTAAATGAAGTTTGCATTTTGGGAAGCCTCTTATCCGTGGGATTGACATGCCAAGCGTCGATTCATTCAATGCTGGGAATTTGACCAAAACTAGAGCAGTTTTTCACCTTGTATGTAAATACCAATGAAAGTTCACTGTAAATACACAAGTATTTCAGTTGTTAAATCCCAATATTTCAATTAAACATTTCTAGATTCAAGAGTCAATTGTTCCCAGCAGTAATCTAACAGAAGTCACTGTTGGGGTTTTATGTTGGGTCGGAGTCACGGCTCAGAGGTCGTAAAGATCTCCTCTGGCTTTGGTAACCAACCCATGTTATTCAGATTCATTGTTTCATCTCTTGAATAAAACATTTACAACAAAAATACCAACCTTACTTTAATGCAACATGGTTTATTCATCAATATCTATAGCACTTAAAATCAAATATTGAATTCTTCAAAATATTGGAGGCATTGCTTTTCTTCCCTTTCAATATCTAAATGGAGTTTTCATTTTGGGAAGCCTGTTATCCCCAGGATTGACATGTCAAGCGTCAATTCATTCATTGCTGGGAATTTGACCAAAACTAGAGCAGTTTTTCACCTTGTATGTAAATATATTCTTGTTTTATTTTTTTCATAAAAAACTGCCTGCACAATCATAGGCCTTGAAAGTCAACCTTGTACAACGGACAGCAATCTGAGCATTTACAATCTGCCATATTAAAAGATGTCTACTACTAGCCTCGGTCAAACTGAGTGTTCTGAAAGTAGATTTTTAACTGAATGGTTAGGAAGACAAGTAATCTTTGCTAAATGTAAAGTAAATAACAGTCATACCCTGAGTGCTCAGCTGTCTCTGCAGAGCCTGCGCAGACAGACCAGGTGTGGTTGCATTCGTAGTGGTCCCAGGGGCACCTCCTGTGAAGATGCGCTCAAGGTCTTGCGAGGACACAACCACAGTCTGGTGCTGAAGAGGTGTGCTGGAACCAACGACTGGGGTTGCCACATTGGAGCTTCCCAAGGACACTCCTGGGGATCCGGAGGGAAGTAAACCTACAAAATTTGTTCCATCAAATGTTAGGTTTCGTATGTTATAGTTCAATGATGGGTTTTAAAACAGAGTTTTGATAGTTTTAAGGCTTTTCATTTACCAAAATAGTATGGAAAGTACCAAATATCGGGCAACATCGTGAAGATAACTCTAAAACACTGATCCTCTGGGTAATTTGATTTTGATGCGATTGATCCGTTAAGATTTGCATCTTCACAAGTTGAGGTGAAAATGGTAGTCATAGGATTTTCAATCATGCATTGTTTTCATTGAAAGCCAGTTGCAAACAATAACAGCTTAGCTACAATTCATCAAATACGAACAAACTGGATTTTTTCAGTACATGTTTAGGTTCAGCGATGCTTTTTCCAAAATGGGTTCCCAATCAAGTGATGAATTTCTTTGTCATCCTAACAAGTTTTTTCACTTATTTGAATTGCACTTTCATACATATGAAATGAAATCTGGATTTTGTATTTCTGAAAAGTCAGCTAGTTGATTTTGCTACCAAGACATCTTCTGATACTAAAATATAAGTAATTGCACAATCGCAAAGATTTGACCATTACCATAACCAAGTTTAATTTTTAAAATGATGTACTGCCTCTTATTTAATGTTGATTCACATCTATGCTGTCATTAGAAAACGGTAACAAATGGTACCTAGTGTGGTCTGCCTGCCTGTACCCGTTATAGCCTGTAATTGGCCGGTCAACACATAGTGCTGGACGGATTCTTGTTGTGGTGACTGCCCACTTTGGTCCCTCGAACCGCTGCCACGACGCTGCTTCACATCGTTTGCATCATTCCGTTGCATACTTCTGCAACACCTTCAAAGTACAAGCAACATGTTTTGCAATGAATCAAAAATAATGCTGAAACACACAACTTTAGATCGAAACACGACTTGTACAGCATACATGATATCAAGAACACCTTCTTCGGAGCACTGATTTGATAATATATCGACATTAAAGCCATTTTGGTCTCTGGAGTATAACATATAGATAGATGGGACCCTACGACACTGTCATCAAGCATTTTGGTCTTTGATATTCCGGTAATACAAATTTCCTTGCAAATGTTATTGATGCAAATTAATTATGATAAACTTCCCTTTTTGAATTCTAATGTAATGTCTTGTAAACTGCTTTTCTTCTATGGTGTTTACACAGCCTATTCGGCTTTTGTGCAACACAAAATATGGAACTCTTGCATATAATACACAAACTCACCTATTATACGCCATTAGGGGAATGGTTTTGTTACTAAAAATAGCCAAAATCATTTTAATCTTAGTTGCATTTACTCAGTCATAAAACATAATACAAAAATAAACTTTATTTGCATGTGGGAAAGTACCAAAAATAGATGCAAAACTTCCGGTAAAGTTACATCAAGTTTTTAAATAACGCTTTCAGTAAACACCTTTTATCAAAATATTATTTCAGTACTTTGTCATAATGCGATTTTTTTTAAATATCTTGCATAAGTTACTGTTAAAGCGATTCGGGTTATTTTTAGTAACAAATCTCTCCAACTTGCGTACAGTATACATTATAGGCAAGTTGGTGGTTTTCCCATCCTGATCATACATGTTAAACAGTCTAAGCACGGCTTTCATTCGATAACGTTATTTTCATAGTCATATTTATACATATTCAACGTCAACCGCTAATTGCAACACTTTACGCGCTACACACCGGTAGACTTCGGCGCGCATGCGGTCCGCCATTCATGCCTTCCCATGAGTCGCAAGTCCGCCATATTGGCATGAATATATTATTTGCTTACCTGGATTTTGAGTTACAAATTTAACGATGAAAAACCACCCATCTTTGGTCAAAAACCCTCAATCCAACCTTATCAGCAATTTATCTGAACATTTTGATACAATGAACCTACAACCTCAAAAATAAAAGACATAAATTTCGATGCAACTATTTCTTGTCGCAAGTCACGGGATCTAAGCCATGACGCATCTCTGGCTGCAAGGAATAATGAGAAAGGATGCGCATGCGCAAAATTGGACACGGTGAAACTTTTCGGAAATTTATATATTCGCTTTTTCTTTCCAAGTTATGACAACATCCGAGATACCCGAATGGTATGACAATTTGTTAAACCATCTCTGATTGGTTGTCGCTTCAGAGGCACAACAATGGCGACCAAGAAAGCACATGGACAGAAGTTGGATATTTTAAATGACATTAAAGCTAGCACGAACAAATGTACAGAAAGCAGAAAGGAGTCAAATAAAATTATTGACATAATATCATATGCACAGGTATAAAATAACTAGTTCTATTACCCAAGAGTGAAATATTTAAAAGGAAAGTTGTGCAGACAGTCTGTCAAATTTATTTATTTATTTATAAGTGTTGGTTACTGTTGTTAAAACACAAATGAACTGTATTGAAAAAACTTGTTTCCAACTCCAGCTAATTATGACTATGAGACCGATTTAAAGGAAAGTCGCTGGTCTATAGTTCACGGTGTATAGAACAAATGTTGATTGAGTGTAGTAAACAATCTTATTCCATGATTTGCTTTTGATCCAAATTTCGATTGAAAAAAATCGTAGTGTTGGCCATCTTTTCAAAGTAACACAAACTAATTACATGGTTATAATGCAATCTTGACTCAAGGAGTTGTTTCGTATATTTACTTTAATTTGGACTGAAGTGTTTTTAGTGTTTGAATCATAAGTGATTCATCTGTTTATTTTTGTGATTTTATACCGAGAAGTTGAAAATCGTCTTGATATTTCTTTCTTAACATTATGGTTATGTGTTCTTAAATGATTTGAGAAATTACGTTTTAGAAAACTTTTAGAACTCGCTGAAGAAGAAGTTGACTGTGTTCACAAGTTTTGAAGGAATATCTTTGTAAAATCTTCATACAAAGTTAAACTGGTTTTCATGATCAAGCATGAATAATGAAGGGGTTAATTGCCATTTAATAAATGTAAATAAACAGTCTGATATATCACAAAAGTTTCAATAGAGTAGTTCCACTTTTAACCAGCTTTGATATCTAGAGTGTTTTTGTTTTTCAAATATGATTATTTGTTTGTATCCTTTAATTTCAGTCTTCAGATAAAGATGTTTTACTGGCCTGTGTTCGAGCATTTCACAAAATGTTTGTCAAGTTCCTGACAGCAGGAGAGATGTTCCTAGAAATGATACCTACAGACACAACTGATAAAGGTGAGTGGGAAATCAAACGCCATAATGGGTAAAAATGTCCCATTTCACTTAAGGAGGCTCCACCCTTTGGCAATTAGCCAGCAGAATTACAGAGGGATAGAATTTATACAATGACACTTATTTTCTTTACTATAGTATACCAAAAACGACGGAAATAAATTATCAGGTGTTGACATATCATCGTCACGCACATGTACTATTTGTTTACCTGTTGTTACTATAATTTACACTACGGTAATGGAATGCCCGATACGCAATACGGAAATGACGACACGAAAATATGACAAGAAAAACATGTGTATTACGAATGGTGGAAAGTCCTTAAGTTTGTTTCTAGTTTCATAAATCATTATGAAACAGAAAAGTTTTCCCCTCGAACAACAAGAGTGTCCGACTAATGAGTATTTAAAGAGGCAATTTATTGAAGTTTTTGTTATAACCTTGTCACAAAATTCTTCATGATAATATAGTTTGATACACCTTATGATCGATTCGACAAGAGGCAATGTTTTCTTGGCATTCTTGATCAGTAAAGGAGAAGTCCTTAAATGTACAATCATACATTTTAACGACAAATGTCAGTGAACTTTTAACTGACAAATATGTCTTTCAAGCTGAGGAGATAAGGTAATTCGCTTAACTTATGTGAAATACAAAAAACAAGTATATATTCTGAATCGATAGTACATGATCTTCCTAACAACACCTAAATCATCCTTATAAATGAGTATTTTACGTTTAAACCTACTGAAATCTTTGTGCGATTTGAAATTCATTCTCTCTTTGGTTTCCTATTGTGTGCATGCTTCAATTTTATTCAAATCCAATGGTAAACAGAAATTTCTCATTAGATTGATATTTATAGCATGATACTTATAGTTCTTATTTGAAATGTATTATATAAATTCAAAGCGACAAGAATGCTATGTGTGAAATCAGTCTCGCTGACATTCTGTTGTTGATTGACAGCGTGGTACTGTACACATTTAACTTCTCACTGAAAGGCCCCGATATTGCGCTATTTTGGCTTTCCCAAAAGATAAAACTGGACAATGGCTTCAAGTGATGCCATTATCAACTACATTTAGGAGAGAAAATACAGGTCCCAATTGGAGCACCAGTTAAATTATCTGTGTCCTCAAAAAGAAGACGGAAGAGATCCCTTTAATGATTCTGCAGGAGGTCCGCTTTAGTTGCAGTGGGACTTTTCCCTTTAATCTGAAGTGGATTAGTGGTACATTATGTATCATGACCATCAAGAATGGTGCTCGCATGTGATTGGGTTTATTGATAATTAAATGGAAACATTGGCTGATATAATAGCAAGTCTGGATGTTAGTTGCTCCAACAAAAATCTCATTTCTAATTCTAATCTGGGGAAGCACAACGGCCGGGGTTTGATTCCTTGAAATGACATGGAAAGGTATGGGTCACCTGCATGACCATGAGATTTTTTCTGGGAAGCACTCTATTTTACTCACACATCACGACCTCTGCATGCAAATAAGAGTGATAAATATAAGTTTATAAACTTGTTTCATTATTCTTGTAAAAGAAATGAAGTTTATGTGTAATTTGGTACTTGTATTTTCAGGCTTAAGTAAAGAAGTTCAATACAAAGTTTGGCTGATGGACTGTTATCAGGACACGATTGATTGCCTCATCCAACTTTTACGATCTGAATACTCATCTATACAGGTAATGATTTCACCTATACAGGTTGACATCACTTTTGAAGAATTGAAAGTATCTTATGAAAGTTGCACATGATCCTACCAGACAACTAATCCTCATGCTGAGTTTGAGATAGATTGTCTCTGTGTTGTCTGCTTTGGGGATATTGATGGGGACAAGTTGATGTGTTGCACCAATATCAACAGTTGGAATCTTCGTCTTTTACCTTTCTAATTTCCTATTTGCTTTCGGCGTTGTAGCACTGTATAACCTACCAAGTAATTGTGTTTATCAACATTGACATGATCACATGAAATTCATCTGTTTTACTCCACGAGATTAAATAATGCAGATTATTAAAAAGAGGGCGCTCATTTCAAAGATTCTGCAGACAACATAGACAATATTCTGTTGATACTAAAGAAAAATATACATACGTTAATTTAATAGATTTTTATTCATAATTTATGTTCCTTTTTTAACTGAAAATGTTTTGACTTTGCATTAGTAGTATGTGTCATAAGGTGAAATAACACAATGTCAGCCGCATATAAAGTGTCGGTAGTTTTTATCAGCATTGATACTAAGTATATTGTACTAGAAAATATCAACACAAAATATGAAATGCAATATACATGTGTTTGATTTTCATTTTCTAGGAGCTAGCTCTATGTACCTTGATGAAGTTTGTTGAGACAGAAGGAAAAAACCCTGTGACAAAAATTTCCTCAAAAAAGTCACATTTTCCAGTAGCTCTGTTTACGGTAAGCCACTCTTTTATAGTTTGATGAAGTTTTGGAAGCAGGAGGCTGACGGTACAAACATCAAGACTGAGTCTTTTCTTTATCTACATGTGTGTCGTGCAAAGATGGAATTCTAATTACGACCATAAAACTTCATATTCTCTTTTCATCTTGGCAACAATGTAGACTTGTAGACTGGGGGTTCTGTTTTAAGTAATTTTAGTAATATTTATCCGAAAAAACATTTAACATTGCAATGGTGTTGTTAATGCCACTTGTTTGCCCAGAACTCGGAATCGTGAAATGCTTGGATAATGGGCAGAAAAATCGATCTGGATATCGAGTCAATAGGATCATTGGTGGTAGACTATTTACGCTAGTTTGTAATTCTACATTATTGTATAAGGCAATTTTGTTGCCATTAATTGATCTCTGATTTCTGATTGGTCATTCACAGAAATTGATGAAGCAGCTCATGAACACAGAGACTAACCTTCAGGATCTTATAGGTAAATTTCAGGAGTATCTGGCCTACGATGATGTCAGATTTCATGTGTTGAAATGCACCATGATGGACCTTAAGGAAAAACGGAATACGGTCAGTATATTTTATGCATTTTCCCAATAAGCACAAAAATAAAAAATAAATGAAACTGTTTCCACTTTCCCTGTTTGAAAGTTATTCTTTCACGTTATTCCAGATACGAGTAAAAGGGAAGGCAGTGACGCACACATATTATTGATATTTTGTGGGTGGTGGGGCCAGAAACATCCCTTGTAATGGTTAGAAGGGAGGCCCACTTATAATTGATATTTTGTGGGTGGTCGGGCTAGATACGAGTATATGGGAGGGCAGGGAGGCCCACTTATAATTGATATTGTATGGGTGTTGGGCCAGATATTGTGAACATTTGTACAGTGGGTAGTGGGCACCAAGAAATATTAATTATGTGCTTCTTTTGGTTCTTTACTTACAAGACAAAGTTTTTTTTAGGCCTAATGGTTTATTGATAGAAGAAGAAAACCGAAAATCTTAACACATTACTATTTGTAAGAGTCCTGTGAAATTCTTCGATTACCGGACTATTGCAACGGAAACAGCTTGTTTTTGTCTGCAGGCTTTTGCAATTGTGAGTCTTCAAGAAACAATGACATGACTAAATCAGGTTTGGTGTGTGAGGTACATGTCAGAAGATTTCTGATTGGTTCTTTGGGATCTCTAAATGAACATAAAACTTTGTAGCATTTGAGAGATCTCGAAACATTTGGTAAGCTCAGTGATATATCATCAGAACTTTTGAAACAAAAATCAGAATCTTACAAGCGTTTGACTTGCATAACAACTTCACAACTTGCTCTACACACATTCATATAAAAATGGCAGCCCCCATGCAGAAGACAATTCACGTTGATTGTTCACTGTATTCATAGTAACTAAAAGCATGAATATAATTATTATAAGTTCCATGAAAGATTCAATCAATTTAGTATTAATGCAATTATACAAAATCATCCAACATTACAGGTTATTTCTAACTGAAAAATACCACTTTCACATTGTTTCCAGAGAAACTCGCCCAGCACATTCACGCATGAAGATTCCGTAACTAAATCCTGCCATAAATACTGTTGATTTACAGCATAAACAATACTCAATGTGTACTCCCACTTTGTCAACTGTAGGAATAATTGTTAGTCTTTTATGTAATTACAGTAGTCACATGTTCTCCACATAAACGACCACTAACCAATCATCTGATGACAAACAAACAATGCAGTTGGACATTTAGTCTCCTTTACCTTAAGCTGACAGTGCAAGTTAAAAAGCTTTCAATTGAGATTTTTTTTTATTCTTTTTTCGGTTTTGAGATGTTCCCCATCTCTTCCAGCTATCGTTTCTAAGAAAGTGCCGACATTTTAGTTTGTGATTGCTTGATCTCATTGGTTATAAAAAGCACATTGCCTGTCAAACCAGTAATCATTCTAGATCATTTTTAATGTTGTAGACACCTGGAAACCTATATCTGAACAACATCTTTGCCATCCTGGAGCGTGTAAGCTTTCCAGCATCTCCAGAGGAAAACCTCACAACCTTCCTGACCACACAGCCAGGTAAATCTACACAAGGAATGTATAAACTTGTTATCAGTTTGTGAGAACTGTCCATGATTATTTTTGGGGTTATATGGTATATACCGAAAAAAAGCTCTGTGTGCTTTTGTGCATAAACCCCAAATTATGCTGGGTAGTTTCCCTTCCAAATGTCAACATTTCACAAAACGTACACATAACAAGAATGCATTCGAGATATCGCATGAATTTAGTGTATGTAAATTTCTCTCCAATCTTTCAGATGAAGATGTCCAACTGAAGATAGCAACATTGAAGGAACACAAACGTTTGTTCACTACCTCTTGGGTAACATTCCTCGCCTTCCAGGTATGTCTCTGGGCTATCAGATATACCTACAATTAGTGAAAGAACATCATTTTGATGGAGGTGGAATGAAGCCCTGGTAGCCACTTAGTTAAGGGTCCTAGTACCACTGCCTAAAGGGTCCTAGTACCACTGCCTAAAACTGTAACTTGACATCAGAAACATTTTTTCTGGCATTACTATAGCTTAGATAAATCATTTTTGGAAAGAAAATCATACTTTGTGGGACGCTTTTTGAAAATGTAATGAAGAAAATAAATAAAACGACAGTGTACTTTATGTGAAAAGTTCAGCCGGGGTAGAACGGGCTTCAAACCCTAGACCTCAGAATGTCGGTGGTAGTGTTATCAAAATAGTGATCTTTATGATTTTTGGGCAAATTCAGCAAATGTAGCACTGATGTAGACCAAAAAATATTGGGTGCATTGTGCATAAGTCTGTATACTGCTCTCATGACCGTGAACAGCTGATTTGTTTTGGATAATTATTAATCCAAAACTGTCACCGGGGTAACCCTGTCAATTACTATGCTGAAATGTATGCAACTTATTCTCAATTCTGCCCACTTTTACTATTTGGATGCCTGGGTTTTTTTTGTAGATTTTTTTTTTTTTTTTAAGTTAGGATTTCTAGAATTCCTCTATTCTTTATAAAAAAAAACATGGTATATTATATCCAGAAAGATACCTGGAAGCAGTTAAAACTCTCAACATGAAATGACAAAAAGTATATGTTGGGTAGACCCCCTCCCCGAGTGTAGGCCAAAATCCTTGAATTTGCCTTACACTGGGACAGACATGGAGATCTTTATAAGACTTTGAAACTGAGTAATTTTTGAAGCAAAAACACATTTTACTTTCAGCTGCCAACTAATCTGTATCGGCGGACACTGGTCATTCTCCATGATAAAGTAATGCCGTATATGACAAGTCCTCTGATGCTGTGTGACTTCCTCACAGAGTCCTATAACATAGGTAAGTCACACAGTAACCAGGCCCTTCCTCCAGGGGTAGGTAGTATATAAACAACAAATTTTCCAGCTATAATAGTAAAAAAACAAATCTTTTCTTCATTTGTAGAAAATACTACATTCTATATAATGAAGTATAAAGTAGAAAGTAGAAAAAGTTGTTTTAAGGCACATTAACAAACTGTCAGTTTTTTTCCAACTCTTTGAAAATAGCATTTGCTGATATGTGGGTGAATTCTGGTAATGATTGATAAATATCTGCCAGATCAAATGGTTAGTAATATGTTACATAATTGGATCTAAAAGTGAAGTTGTGTCTGATTGAAATTGTGAACCTAGCCAGCGTTGTTATAGTGTGTGGAAACTGACATTGTGAACCTAGCCAGCGTTGTTATAGTGTGTGTAAACTGACATTATGCACCTAGCCAGCGTTGTTATAGTGTGTGACATTGTGAACCTAGCCAGCGTTGTTATAGTGTGTGAAAACTGACATTGTGAACCTAGCCAGCGTTGTTATAGTGTGTGAAAACTGACATTGTGAACCTAGCCAGCGTTGTTATAGTGTGTGAAAACTGACATTGTGAACCTAGCCAGCGTTGTTATAGTGTGTGAAAACTGACATTGTGAACCTAGCCAGCGTTGTTATAGTGTGTGAAAACTGACATTGTGAACCTAGCCAGCGTTGTTATAGTGTGTGAAAACTGACATTGTGAACCTAGCCAGCGTTGTTATAGTGTGTGAAAACTGACATTGTGAACCTAGCCAGCGTTGTTATAGTGTGTGAAAACTGACATTGTGAACCTAGCCAGCGTTGTTATAGTGTGTGAAAACTGACATTGTGAACCTAGCCAGCGTTGTTATAGTGTGTGAAAACTGACATTGTGAACCTAGCCAGCGTTGTTATAGTGTGTGAAAACTGACATTGTGAACCTAGCCAGCGTTGTTATAGTGTGTGAAAACTGACATTGTGAACCTAGCCAGCGTTGTTATAGTGTGTGAAAACTGACATTGTGAACCTAGCCAGCGTTGTTATAGTGTGTGAAAACTGACATTGTGAACCTAGCCAGCGTTGTTATAGTGTGTGAAAACTGACATTGTGAACCTAGCCAGCGTTGTTATAGTGTGTGAAAACTGACATTGTGAACCTAGCCAGCGTTGTTATAGTGTGTGAAAACTGACATTGTGAACCTAGCCAGCGTTGTTATAGTGTGTGAAAACTGACATTGTGAACCTAGCCAGCGTTGTTATAGTGTGTGAAAACTGACATTGTGAACCTAGCCAGCGTTGTTATAGTGTGTGAAAACTGACATTGTGAACCTAGCCAGCGTTGTTATAGTGTGTGAAAACTGACATTGTGAACCTAGCCAGCGTTGTTATAGTGTGTGAAAACTGACATTGTGAACCTAGCCAGCGTTGTTATAGTGTGTGAAAACTGACATTGTGAACCTAGCCAGCGTTGTTATAGTGTGTGAAAACTGACATTGTGAACCTAGCCAGCGTTGTTATAGTGTGTGAAAACTGACATTGTGAACCTAGCCAGCGTTGTTATAGTGTGTGAAAACTGACATTGTGAACCTAGCCAGCGTTGTTATAGTGTGTGAAAACTGACATTGTGAACCTAGCCAGCGTTGTTATAGTGTGTGAAAACTGACATTGTGAACCTAGCCAGCGTTGTTATAGTGTGTGAAAACTGACATTGTGAACCTAGCCAGCGTTGTTATAGTGTGTGAAAACTGACATTGTGAACCTAGCCAGCGTTGTTATAGTGTGTGAAAACTGACATTGTGAACCTAGCCAGCGTTGTTATAGTGTGTGAAAACTGACATTGTGAACCTAGCCAGCGTTGTTATAGTGTGTGAAAACTGACATTGTGAACCTAGCCAGCGTTGTTATAGTGTGTGAAAACTGACATTGTGAACCTAGCCAGCGTTGTTATAGTGTGTGAAAACTGACATTGTGAACCTAGCCAGCGTTGTTATAGTGTGTGAAAACTGACATTGTGAACCTAGCCAGCGTTGTTATAGTGTGTGGAAACTGACATTGTGAACCTAGCCAGCGTTGTTATAGTGTGTGAAAACTGACATTGTGAACCTAGCCAGCGTTGTTATAGTGTGTGAAAACTGACATTGTGAACCTAGCCAGCGTTGTTATAGTGTGTGAAAACTGACATTGTGAACCTAGCCAGCGTTGTTATAGTGTGTGAAAACTGACATTGTGAACCTAGCCAGCGTTGTTATAGTGTGTGAAAACTGACATTGTGAACCTAGCCAGCGTTGTTATAGTGTGTGAAAACTGACATTGTGAACCTAGCCAGCGTTGTTATAGTGTGTGAAAACTGACATTGTGAACCTAGCCAGCGTTGTTATAGTGTGTGAAAACTGACATTGTGAACCTAGCCAGCGTTGTTATAGTGTGTGAAAACTGACATTGTGAACCTAGCCAGCGTTGTTATAGTGTGTGAAAACTGACATTGTGAACCTAGCCAGCGTTGTGATAGTGGTTGGAAACTGACATTGTGAACCTAGCCAGCGTTGTTATAGTGTGTCGATAATTAAAGTTTATTTGTCTTTAAGGCTGGATCATGTAGTGATGAATTTAACTTTTTTTCTACAGATGCTCTGAATTCTTTGAACTCGTGTTAGAACATCAAGTTGTAAAAATAACATGTTATATTAAAAATCAATCAGAAAACTTGAAGCAAAGAAAGCTGAGTGTGATTGTGGCCATTTTGTTTTCCAATGTGTAGAAATTACACTTAAATTTGATATAGCAGAATTTGCTAATCATTTATTTCTGCAGGTGGTGCTATCAGTCTGCTGGCTCTAAATGGCATATTTGTGTTGGTCCAACAATACAATCTGTGAGTACTGTTTATTGTAAACCTTGTAGTAGTTGTGTAAAGAGTGGATTGCTATGTGGCTTTGCCAAGATTTTACATTAATGTAACAGTCTTATAATGACAGTGAACAATATTACTAAATATTTAACCCTTTCTGTACTTGAAGTTCTTTTTAAACAAGGACCTTTGGAAGTAATAAAACACATCTGTTCATCATAGATACTGGCCACTATCTGGTGTTGATCACTGTAAGGTGTCGGCAGCTTTAGGATTTTGATGTATTTTCAGGCTTCAAACTTTTGAGAATGATATAATTAATTGAAATAAAATTAATATGTTTTTTACCCTGAGTTTCAGTTTATCCTGAAATTCTGTTTACCCTAAGTTTCAGTTAAGTTTCATATAGGGGTGGAATGAGTTGGGCACTCCCTCCCTCCCCAACCACCACCAACCACAATTTTTAGCAAGTGAGCTTATGCTGTAGTGCAGTCCATTGACTTGTCCTTTAAATGATTTTTAAAGAACGGACATTCCTAGAGTCATGATATTTTGCTGGTAGCTTCCTGAAATAATACCAAGCAAACTCAGCAAATAAATACAACCTAGACTCACTTAATAGTTCACAGGGGTCATATTTGTAAAAAAAAAACTTCAGACAACTTCTGATGACTTCATCAGAAGATCAATGCCTAGAGTCATGATACTAGTGAGTAGCCCTTAGATGGGTTCCAACAGTTTGCAAACAAAAATTACCTTGTCAACACTCAGATATATCATGCTTTTATTGACGATGTAGAATACATGTATTTTATAGATATAATATATTTCTCCAACCTCTGTGTATGCAACATACAAATGTCCCGTGTTGGATACATGTATCTCACTCGTTGTCCTTGTCTATTATGACGTCACAATCAAATGTTATTATTTAGACGTCACAATTGAAAGGCCAACAAAATGGCATTGGACCGAGTGTGGCAATCCTCAGCTAGTGACACCACCTAAGGAACATAGAGATCATTGTACAAGCTCGCCCTAAAAGTCTTCGCCCTAAAAGTATCTTTGAAATTGAGGTTTACCTACAGTATTTATTAATTTTTCTGTTCTTTCCATATATGGTCTTAGTTTGTGTGTACTTTATCTAGAAATTTTGCTATATCAAACGTTGCATTTACATTGTGTATGTTGTGTTTTACCCAAATTTTGATTGAGAGTCGAAGAAAAACGGGTCAATCATTATGTAAGCATATGGGACATGGCTATTCTACTGACAGGTGCAGAATGTGTCAAAGTCTCGGTTCTGACAACCGTGGGTAGAGTATAATTACATATTGTTGACGCAGATATTCTACTGACGGGTGCAGAATGTGTCAAAGCCTCGGTTCTGACAACCGTGGGTAGAGTATAATTACATATTGTTGACGCGGATATTCTACTGTCGGGTGCAGAATGTGTCAAAGCCTCGGTTCTGACAACCGTGGGTAGAGTATAACTACATATTGTTGACGCGGATATTCTACTGACGGGTGCAGAATGTGTCAAAGTCTCGGTTCTGACAACCGTGGGTAGAGTATAACTACATATTGTTGACGCGGATATTCTACTGACGGGTGCAGAATGTGTCAAAGTCTCGGTTCTGACAACCGTGGGTAGAGTATAACTACATATTGTTGACGCGGATATTCTACTGACGGGTGCAGAATGTGTCAAAGTCTCGGTTCTGACAACCGTGGGTAGAGTATAACTACATATTGTTGACGCGGATATTCTACTGTCGGGTGCAGAATGTGTCAAAGTCTCGGTTCTGACAACCGTGGGTAGAGTATAACTACATATTGTTGACGCGGATATTCTACTGACGGGTGCAGAATGTGTCAAAGTCTCGGTTCTGACAACCGTGGGTAGAGTATAACTACATATTGTTGACGCGGATATTCTACTGACGGGTGCAGAATGTGTCAAAGTCTCGGTTCTGACAACCGTGGGTAGAGTATAACTACATATTGTTGACGCGGATATTCTACTGACGGGTGCAGAATGTGTCAAAGTCTCGGTTCTGACAACCGTGGGTAGAGTATAACTACATATTGTTGACGCGGATATTCTACTGACGGGTGCAGAATGTGTCAAAGCCTCGGTTCTGACAACCGTGGGTAGAGTATAACTACATATTGTTGACGCGGATATTCTACTGACGGGTGCAGAATGTGTCAAAGCCTCGGTTCCGACAACCTTGGGTAGAGTATAACTACATATTGTTGACGCTATTAGAATTAAACTGACTTAATTCTATTTGCAGAGATTACCCAGACTTCTATGGAAAGCTGTATGCTTTATTTGAGCCATCTGTCTTCCATGCCAAATACAGAGCGAGATTCTTCTATTTAGCGGATCTATTTTTGACATCCACGTAAGTCAACAGTGAATGACCTCCTCCCAATCCTGGAAAGGTTGCTTCTAAATGTCTCCTCAAAACCCCACACCCTTGTTGTTTGCTCCTAGGGTCTATCCCCACCCAATACCCAATTCTTCCTGTTTGCTTCAGATGTCCCCCACTCCCATACCCTTTCTGTTCAGTCCTAAATGTCCCTCCAACCCCCACTCCCCAGCCCCACAACCCCCATGTTCTCTCCCAGTTGATTCCACCCCACCCCACAGCTTTAGAAAGAAGTTCCTTCCCTCATCTACAACACGGTGGCCAAGTGGTTAAGGCATCTGACATTCTGCTACCAGTAGCCCTCCAACACTGGGTCGTGGGTTCGAGGCCTACGTGGGGCAGTCATAAGGTACTGTCCGTAAGTCGGTGCTTTTTCTCCGAGAACTCAGGCTTTCCTCCACCAACAAAACCTGGCAGATCCTTAAATGACCATAGCTGTTAATAGGACATAAAACACAAACAAACCATCCCTCATCTAAACCACTGAACTGTATTCATTAAAATTGATTTCAAATACTGAATGAGGATTCAACATTTTTTCCAATACAATATTTAGCAAGAATGACAGGTCATATAACAGGACTTAGAACATTCAGGAAGAACACAAATACTTGGACAGTGAGCAGGGGTGTACAGTTCTACTAGCCAGAGCAGGGGTGTACAGTTCTACTAGCCAGAGCAGGGGTTTACAGTTCTACTAGCCAGGGGCCCAGATCTAGTAGACTTTAAATATTGAAATACCCCGGTATTAAGTTTGAAAATAAAGTTTGAGCCTGCTGAATTCTGGAAAACCTGCCTACTAGTACACAAAATATGAAATTATACCCCCAACCCCCCAACCTCCACCCCACCCCCCTATTTGAGGCATTTGGATTTGGTCTCATTACTATATGAAGAGAACAATGCTGAAAAAAACATCTTTTATTTTTACTTATTTGTTATACAGCCATCTGCCAGCTTACCTGGTCGGAGCATTTGCCAAGCGACTGGCGAGAATTTCGTTGGCGGCTCCTCCTTCCGGCCTGACTGTATCCATACCCTTCATCTATAACCTGATACACAGACATCCCAACTGTCGAGTGTTACTACATCGAACAGAGGGACCTTCAGGTAAGGCTGACATTTAATGTTTATATGCTCTTTCAGCACTAGGGTTTTTTACAAAGTATAGTTGGTGAGTATTCACTTATTCATCACTTCATCAAACCGTTAAAATACCATTAAATACCATTGTGCCAGTGAAAAAGTAGGAATTTGTCAGTGTGATAACATTATCTTGACTGCTGTGAAGATTTGATGCAACAATACCAAGGTGTCACATGATTGTGACATCCAATCAAATGCCATGACACAACATTGCTTTTACACTGGCAGTCTCCTGTAAATTTGGGAGATGTAATAAAATCCAATTATTTGTGACGTAGCAGACAATTTTATACTTGTGATATTCAACAGAATATTCTATTTTCTACAATTCTATTTGCTAAATGGAATCTTCTCAACAAGACTAAAATTAGTGAACCTACGAATTTGTTTAAGTCAAGACTTGGAAAACACACTCTCAGAAAACAAAGGGACTGTACTCTGAGAGGCAATAATAGGACATTGTGCTTTTGAAGTCTTCACAACAGTAAATCTGTTATATTTTCAGTGGTGAAAATCAATAAAGAGATAAAACAAGGCATTTGCTAGAATCTTTTTTGTTCTGATATTGCCTCATACATGTCAGCAGAATTTCTAAACTTTTCAAGTTGAAACTTATTAAAAAAGAAAGTTGCACAATGAATGAATTTTCAGCTGTCAAGAAATAAATGTTAGTTTTCTCTCAATTCTAATTGACAGTGGACAATAATTCTCACAACAATAAGATGGATGATGTGTTTTTATCAGTCAGGGTATATGCTTATATGTATGTCATGTAGTGTCAAAGATTTGGCAAATTACCCTTAAGCTTTAAAAGTGCCTGTAAGTAAATATGCAAACTGATGAAATTGACCTCTATCTGTTGACAAAGGGATCTTTTATTTCTAAAGGTAAATGTATTTGATATGAGTGATACTGGCCTGGTGGGTCTCTTGTTTTATCAGCATACATATACTTATAAAGATTTCTACATGACTAGTTAATAATTGTTGATTTTAGAAATACATGATGACCCCTACGACCCCAATGAACCTGACCCCACCAAGTGCCATGCCATGGAGAGCTCTCTATGGGAACTGAAGGTATTATTATAGATATTTAATCTGCAATCTCAAAAAAGACATCAAGAGTTTAAATAAGTCCAGAAAGTAGCCTGGTACGCTATGGATATCTTGTAGTCAAATACATTTTTACTTCAGACATGTTTAGAAAGTAAGCTGTCCAACATTTCAAAGTGTTGACTGAACAAACATAACTGTTTATGTGATGACCTTAACTGCATAGGAATTAAGAAGTGTTTTCCAGTTTCCTAAATAACGTGTTGGAATTAAATTGTCAGCAACAGTGAATGTTTACAAACCGAACTGCAAGATTTTTCTGCAATGTTGATGTTGCTTTTTAAAGTGTCAAGATACTTCAAGTTAATTTTCTCTGTGCACTTTCCAGACTCTACAGTCCCACTTTCATCCTGACGTGGCGAGAAGTGCGCAGAGGATAGACGGTGAAATCCAAACAATAGAAACGGATCTATCCGACCTGTTTGAAACCTCTTACGATGATGTAAGTGAATTTGTAGTATTTTCTGTTCTGTAGAGATTGAACACAGCAGATTGTCTGCCTGTTGGTATATCCATAGTCCACTGTAGATGTTAAGTAGAGAAATGTACAGTTGTACGGTGTGGAATACGAGATATCAAGTCCACTGTATATGTTAAGCTGAGAAATGTACAGTTGTACGGTGTGGAATACGAGATATCAAGTCCACTGTAGATGTTAAGTAGAGAAATGTACAGTTGTACGGTGTGGAATACGAGATATCAAGTCCACTGTAGATGTTAAGTAGAGAAATGTACAGTTGTACGGTGTGGAATACGAGATATCAAGTCCACTGTAGATGTTAAGTAGAGAAATGTACAGTTGTACGGTGTGGAATACGAGATATCAAGTCCACTGTAGATGTTAAGTAGAGAAATGTACAGTTGTACGGTGTGGAATACGAGATATCAAGTCCACTGTAGATGTTAAGTAGAGAAATGTACAGTTGTACGGTGTGGAATACGAGATATCAAGTCCACTGTAGATGTTAAGTAGAGAAATGTACAGTTGTACGGTGTGGAATACGAGATATCAAGTCCACTGTAGATGTTAAGTAGAGAAATGTACAGTTGTACGGTGTGGAATACGAGATATCAAGTCCACTGTAGATGTTAAGTAGAGAAATGTACAGTTGTACGGTGTGGAATACGAGATATCAAGTCCACTGTAGATGTTAAGTAGAGAAATGTACAGTTGTACGGTGTGGAATACGAGATATCAAGTCCACTGTAGATGTTAAGTAGAGAAATGTACAGTTGTACGGTGTGGAATACGAGATATCAAGTCCACTGTAGATGTTAAGTAGAGAAATGTACAGTTGTACGGTGTGGAATACGAGATATCAAGTCCACTGTAGATGTTAAGTAGAGAAATGTACAGTTGTACGGTGTGGAATACGAGATATCAAGTCCACTGTAGATGTTAAGTAGAGAAATGTACAGTTGTACGGTGTGGAATACGAGATATCAAGTCCACTGTAGATGTTAAGTAGAGAAATGTACAGTTGTACGGTGTGGAATACGAGATATCAAGTCCACTGTAGATGTTAAGTAGAGAAATGTACAGTTGTACGGTGTGGAATACGAGATATCAAGTCCACTGTAGATGTTAAGTAGAGAAATGTACAGTTGTACGGTGTGGAATACGAGATATCAAGTCCACTGTAGATGTTAAGTAGAGAAATGTACAGTTGTACGGTGTGGAATACGAGATATCAAGTCCACTGTAGATGTTAAGTAGAGAAATGTACAGTTGTACGGTGTGGAATACGAGATATCAAGTCCACTGTAGATGTTAAGTAGAGAAATGTACAGTTGTACGGTGTGGAATACGAGATATCAAGTCCACTGTAGATGTTAAGTAGAGAAATGTACAGTTGTACGGTGTGGAATACGAGATATCAAGTCCACTGTAGATGTTAAGTAGAGAAATGTACAGTTGTACGGTGTGGAATACGAGATATCAAGTCCACTGTAGATGTTAAGTAGAGAAATGTACAGTTGTACGGTGTGGAATACGAGATATCAAGTCCACTGTAGATGTTAAGTAGAGAAATGTACAGTTGTACGGTGTGGAATACGAGATATCAAGTCCACTGTAGATGTTAAGTAGAGAAATGTACAGTTGTACGGTGTGGAATACGAGATATCAAGTCCACTGTAGATGTTAAGTAGAGAAATGTACAGTTGTACGGTGTGGAATACGAGATATCAAGTCCACTGTAGATGTTAAGTAGAGAAATGTACAGTTGTACGGTGTGGAATACGAGATATCAAGTCCACTGTAGATGTTAAGTAGAGAAATGTACAGTTGTACGGTGTGGAATACGAGATATCAAGTCCACTGTAGATGTTAAGTAGAGAAATGTACAGTTGTACGGTGTGGAATACGAGATATCAAGTCCACTGTAGATGTTAAGTAGAGAAATGTACAGTTGTACGGTGTGGAATACGAGATATCAAGTCCACTGTAGATGTTAAGTAGAGAAATGTACAGTTGTACGGTGTGGAATACGAGATATCAAGTCCACTGTAGATGTTAAGTAGAGAAATGTACAGTTGTACGGTGTGGAATACGAGATATCAAGTCCACTGTAGATGTTAAGTAGAGAAATGTACAGTTGTACGGTGTGGAATACGAGATATCAAGTCCACTGTAGATGTTAAGTAGAGAAATGTACAGTTGTACGGTGTGGAATACGAGATATCAAGTCCACTGTAGATGTTAAGTAGAGAAATGTACAGTTGTACGGTGTGGAATACGAGATATCAAGTCCACTGTAGATGTTAAGTAGAGAAATGTACAGTTGTACGGTGTGGAATACGAGATATCAAGTCCACTGTAGATGTTAAGTAGAGAAATGTACAGTTGTACGGTGTGGAATACGAGATATCAAGTCCACTGTAGATGTTAAGTAGAGAAATGTACAGTTGTACGGTGTGGAATACGAGATATCAAGTCCACTGTAGATGTTAAGTAGAGAAATGTACAGTTGTACGGTGTGGAATACGAGATATCAAGTCCACTGTAGATGTTAAGTAGAGAAATGTACAGTTGTACGGTGTGGAATACGAGATATCAAGTCCACTGTAGATGTTAAGTAGAGAAATGTACAGTTGTACGGTGTGGAATACGAGATATCAAGTCCACTGTAGATGTTAAGTAGAGAAATGTACAGTTGTACGGTGTGGAATACGAGATATCAAGTCCACTGTAGATGTTAAGTAGAGAAATGTACAGTTGTACGGTGTGGAATACGAGATATCAAGTCCACTGTAGATGTTAAGTAGAGAAATGTACAGTTGTACGGTGTGGAATACGAGATATCAAGTCCACTGTAGATGTTAAGTAGAGAAATGTACAGTTGTACGGTGTGGAATACGAGATATCAAGTCCACTGTAGATGTTAAGTAGAGAAATGTACAGTTGTACGGTGTGGAATACGAGATATCAAGTCCACTGTAGATGTTAAGTAGAGAAATGTACAGTTGTACGGTGTGGAATACGAGATATCAAGTCCACTGTAGATGTTAAGTAGAGAAATGTACAGTTGTACGGTGTGGAATACGAGATATCAAGTCCACTGTAGATGTTAAGTAGAGAAATGTACAGTTGTACGGTGTGGAATACGAGATATCAAGTCCACTGTAGATGTTAAGTAGAGAAATGTACAGTTGTACGGTGTGGAATACGAGATATCAAGTCCACTGTAGATGTTAAGTAGAGAAATGTACAGTTGTACGGTGTGGAATACGAGATATCAGGTCCACTGTAGATGTTAAGTAGAGAAATGTACAGTTGTACGGTGTGGAATACGAGATATCAGGTCCACTGTAGATGTTAAGTAGAGAAATGTACAGTTGTACGGTGTGGAATACGAGATATCAGGTCCACTGTAGATGTTAAGTAGAGAAATGTACAGTTGTACGGTGTGGAATACGAGATATCAGGTCCACTGTAGATGTTAAGTAGAGAAATGTACAGTTGTACGGTGTGGAATACGAGATATCAAGTCCACTGTAGATGTTAAGTAGAGAAACGTACAGTTGTACGGTGTGGAATACGGAAGATTCTAAATAGTGTTACCTCACCTAACATATGTTCATCCTTGGAATAAATTCATTATAATCCACAAATTCCAGAAACAATATTTTCTTTAAATATATTGTGATCAGGTTGAGTCAGATCATCTGTTATATAATTCATTTTACTGTTAAGTAAAGAAGATAGCTTTTGATAGCTTATGCCGAGAAGTTGAACATTTTAGTGTAACTTGTAAAGTGAAAAATGACAGATGTGTGAACAAAAAAGGAAAAAGAGACAAGAGAAATTGTATATTCCTTATTTTTGTGTCATTGTTTTGTAATTTCAGTTGTTTGACAAAGAAACGCGAAAGAAGGTGAAATTTGTGCCTGTGAACTTTGAGACCCCAAAGGGACTGCTGGGGTCCAAATCTGACAGAATTAAGCTGTGTTGGAGACTTGAATGATCTGGAGTAGTAGCAGGGAGGGAAGGGAGGAGGGAGAAACAGAGAAGGGATAAGAGGGAAAGCTGAACTAGTGTTTGATGAATGATCAATATTTATATTGGCAGCCAAAGAGAAAATGAAAATAAAACAATGAAAATAAAAATTGCTAGTTCTCTTGTAAATTTGTGTTGGCTTAGTGCTTACATTTTGTCTTCAGAATTGCCTCTGGGATTTTGAAAGTTTCAGTTTATGTGTTTCTTACAATTTTCAACGTTTTGTTTACTTTCTCTCAAGAATGTCCATGAAGATTTTTGCTGAAAGGGTTGAATCTTGTAAATTTGGTTTTATCAGACGTGGAAGGACCTTTAATCATAATTATTCGGAAAGAGGGGGATATTAATTTGGTCAGTCCGTCTTTCACATTTCTGTGCAATAACTAGGCTAATAATGGTCTAATTTCAACAAACTTGGTGTGCATATACATATCAACATGTTTCAGACAAAATTCGCTGTCAATGTGATCCTTGTATGTATTATTACTCTTATACATTCTGACTGGTTGATTGGTTTCTTGCTTATTGATGGTCCTATATCAACAAATTTAGGTGTGCAGGTACATATTAATGTTTCAGGCTCCATTTGCTCCTCAGTGAGATCTCTGGAAATTTACGCAGAATTAATAACAAAATTCATTAATTAGTTTATTAATGATTAGTAAAGGTATTCAAAAACCCTAAAAATGAATGGTAACCTTGACTTGTCATATTGTCTGTTTTGTCTGTCTGCTCTTAATTCTCCATACTAGGTATCATGTTTCCTCTAAAACATGTCCATAAAGCAGGTGATATGAATTCCACCAATTTTCTTGTTAGAATATATTGTATACCTTGCTGCATTTTAACTTTTGTCGTCCACAAACATGGCAAGTTCATTTCATAACTTTCCATAATGCTGCACAACAATAAGCTGTCCCATCTCCTGGTAAGATATACTGCCTTTTCTATTTTGCAAAATTATGAAGACCAGTGCAGTAGTAATTCATTTTCCATTTGAAAGTTTTCTCAAGCCTATTCTTTCTGGAGGGAAGAAATTGGCTAGCTGTCACCCTGCTAATGATGTTGATGTCCCTGACACGTCCTGAAATTGATTATTAAAGAGTTAGTAACGATATCCAGAAGGATCAATGTAATTTTCTCGTTTTGAATGTTACTGACATTTTGTCATGACAATACAATAATTGCTTGTTGCAATGCATAAAAATATATAGCTTACAAACGGGATGATTTATGAAGGAGCACATGATTTGGTTTTGTGGTGTAAATAGAATCTACTTTCAAATCCATCTGTTCTCTGCTTTTACTGTGCCTTAAACAAAATCAACACAAACCACACCTTTCTATCATTTCTGTAACCAAATAAGCTCAATAAATAACTTGAATTGTGATAATGTTTTGACTAAATGCAGCCACATATTATGGTTTGGTTTGGTTTCATTTTGTTTAACATCCTATTAACAGCTAAGGTCATTTCAGGACGTGCCTCCATGTGTGTATGCAGAAGACAGAGTATGTTGGTGTTCTTGCCTCCTTGTGATAGCGCATATCTGATGCCGACTTTATAGTGCTATCTAACTGAAATACCATGCCGAAGGCACCCAGCACAGCATTCCACCCGGTCACATTATACTGACAACGTGTGAATCAATTGTTGCCATTCCCCTAAATGCTGAACGTTAAGCAGGGAATTACAACTACCATTTTTAAGGACTTTGGTATGTCCCGGCCTGGGGACAGAACCCATTGCTTTCCTCACCTGGGCAAACGCTCAACGTTAGGGCCAGAAGTGAGGTGTTGCCAAGCAAGGCGCTAGGAATGCGCTAACAACCCTTACCGAGCAGACAGGACGGGGAAACCACGGACAGAAAGGAACACCAGCCCAAAACCCTTACTGAGCAGACAGAACGGGGAAACCACGGACAAAAAGAGCATAACCCATCTTGAGCATTGCGGGAAACATACAAAACCATTCGTGGACACCTATGATTTGCATGCTAATTCTTATTGTTACAGTTTATCTCGAATCAGAAAGTGACATTTTATTACACATAGATGGAAACCTACAAAAAACGTAAATGAACGTTTCTACCATGTTGTTTAGTCAAACGGAAAAGTATTCCCTTGTAACCGAAATACCACCGCTAGAAAAATGATATCACCGAGTAAAATATTAATCTTGACCTTCTTAAAAGTTTTAATGTTGATGAGTGTGTTAATTTAAATAATAAACCAATGACGAAAATAATTGGTCAAGTCCCACTCGTGGGCCTATTATTGACCTTGTGCACGCTAAACAAATCTTGAGAGTATTCGTTGCACACAAATAGATCAAATGGGTTGCTGACAGAAATTACAGGTATTTTCATGCGCGCCTATTAATTAACAGCACTATTAAACTTTATTTAAAGAGGATCACTTTTTAGGATCGTACCTATAATAATATCGAAAAACTTATGTTTACCAATAACCACTGTAGTATGATGTACAACATGAATGTAAACGTATTCTTATGTTTACAAGTGCATTGCAAGTTGTTTTTAATTGTGATGTTGTCGGTACGACTGGCAGCTAGATAATGATACATGTCCCTATTACACTATCCGATCTCACCTGTATCACGTGACCTATGTCACGTATACAACATTTTCCCGGCTCATACTACCGAAACGCGGGGAAAATTTAATTATATATAAAAGGAATAAGACCGGACCGAGAATAGTTAACCTGTGGGACTCCCGACTTCACCATTTCACAGGATGACATTACCTGGTCTTTAGATACAGTTTGATATCTATCATGCAGGTAAGATTCAAACCAAAGCAGTGTATTATATAAGAAATGGTATCTACTTAATTTCTTGAATAAGATATCAAAACCAACCATATCAAAGGCTATACTGAAATTAATAAATAAAACCCCTACGTGATTACCGGAGTCTATAGACGTGATTACCGGAGTCTATAGACGTGATTTCCGGAGTCTATAGAAGATATCCACCGATCAACCAACACGGTTAAAGTTGTCTAACAGGAATGTTTTTGTCTAAATCTAAGAATTGAAATAGGTCTATAATTATTCACGTCTGATTTTGAACCTTTTTTATGAATTGGAGTGACCCTAGCTAATTTGAAAATGGGAGGAAAAGAGTCTTTAACTGTACTCAAATCAAATATCTTTGTAATAGATGTAGTCAGTATTTTGTTTGCGAGTTTCAAGATTTTTGTTGAAAGACTATCTAGCCCCACGGCTTTATTAATATCAATTGACTTTATGTAATTCGATACTTTACTCTAGATATTCCGGTTCCCTCCCACATTAAGAGCCCCATGTGCGCTACCATCTGGATCAACAATAGTGATTAAATACATATTGATTCAACTTGTTTCCTAATTGTATAATAAAAAAGGTTATTATTTGAAGTATCAAATACAGAAGATAATATAACAAAGGTTAAGGATGCAATTTACCCACACCCCACGAACGTACATAAAACGCAACCACTGTAATTTCAATCGTTGATGTACTTCCTTGAATCTTGATGACGTTTTGCATTATGGTTTCTTTCTGTCGATGCTGCATTCAAAATCCCATTGAGCCTAACTGACAATCTACGACGATCGTTTTAAAACAAAAAACGCATCCGGAACACAGATTAACCTGATTACCCGGTTAGATATACATTCCGTGAAGCTCGCTGCTTATAGAGGAACCTGTATTTTGAACATTTAAGTATATTTCAGTATAAAGAGGTTTAATATTGGGATGACAATGGTCGCACTATTACACCTCTTACGGTATGTTGTCGCCCCTTTAGGCCTGGGTAGTAACAAATGTTAGCCACTACCATGGTGTATGAAGCTACTTATTGGAACCCTTACAGAACTACAGATTTTTGTTTTGTGTGTAAAGATCTGGGTAGGGGGAATGTTAGCCACTACCATGGTGTATGAAGTTACTTGTTGGAACCTCTGTAGGACTTCTGTAGCCTCCATTGGGGACACGAACACGGCAACATTGGTAATGTTTTGTTCCTTCCGTTTTCTGATGACTTTCCTTTCCTAGTGCCGTTCTTGGCCATACCTCACTTTTGGCCTTAGTGTTGACCGTTCGACCAAGCAAAGAAAGTTATGGGGACTAGCTGTGCTCTGACCGAAACATACCAAGATACATAAAGGGGCTACCTACTGCCCTCTGCATTATACGTTCGGGTAAGTACGTTGGTTGGACGGACTGTTACATGTTACCGTACCTGGTTAGTATGTTGTCGGCATACTGTGGTTGGACGGACTGTCACATGTTACCGTACCTGGTTAGTATGTTGTCGGCATACTGTGGTTGGACGGACTGTCACATGTTACCGTACCTGGTTAGTATGTTGTCGGCATACTGTGATTGGACGGACTGTCACATGCTACCGTACCTGGTTAGTATGTTGTCGGCATACTGTGATTGGACGGACTGTCACATGCTACCGTACCTGGTTAGTATGTTGTCGGCATACTGTGATTGGACGGACTGTCACATGCTACCGTACCTGGTTAGTATGTTGTCGGCATACTGTGATTGGACGGACTGTCACATGCTACCGTACCTGGTTAGTATGTTGTCGGCATACTGTGATTGGACGGACTGTCACATGCTACCGTACCTGGTTAGTATGTTGTCGGCATACTGTGATTGGACGGACTGTCACATGCTACCGTACCTGGTTAGTATGTTGTCGGCATACTGTGATTGGACGGACTGTCACATGCTACCGTACCTGGTTAGTATGTTGTCGGCATACTGTGATTGGACGGACTGTCACATGCTACCGTACCTGGTTAGTATGTTGTCGGCATACTGTGATTGGACGGACTGTCACATGCTACCGTACCTGGTTAGTATGTTGTCGGCATACTGTGATTGGACGGACTGTCACATGCTACCGTACCTGGTTAGTATGTTGTCGGCATACTGTGGTTGGACGGACTGTCACATGCTACCGTACCTGGTTAGTATGTTGTCGGCATACTGTGATTGGACGGACTGTCACATGTTACCGTACCTGGTTAGTATGTTGTCAGCATACTGTGGTTGGACGGACTGTCACATGCTACCATACCTGGTAAGTATGTTGTCGGCATACTGTGATTGGACGGACTGTCACATGTTACCTTACCTGATTAGTATGTTGTCAGCATACTGTGGTTGGACGGACTGTCACATGCTACCATACCTGGTTAGTATGTTGTCGGCATACTGTGATTGGACGGACTGTCACATGTTACCGTACCTGGTTAGTATGTTGTCAGCATACTGTGGTTGGACGGACTGTCACATGCTACCATACCTGGTAAGTATGTTGTCGGCATACTGTGATTGGACGGACTGTCACATGTTACCTTACCTGATTAGTATGTTGTCAGCATACTGTGGTTGGACGGACTGTCACATGCTACCATACCTGGTAAGTATGTTGTCGGCATACTGTGATTGGACGGACTGTCACATGCTACCGTACCTGGTTAGTATGTTGTCGGCATACTGTGGTTGGACGGACTGTCACATGTTACCGTACCTGGTTAGTATGTTGTCGACATACTGTGATTGGACGGACTGTCACATGTTACCTTACCTGATTAGTATGATGTCAGCATACTGTGGTTGGACGGACTGTCACATGCTACCATACCTGGTAAGTATGTTGTCGGCATACTGTGATTGGACGGACTGTCACATGCTACCGTACCTGGTTAGTATGTTGTCGGCATACTGTGATTGGACAGACTGTCACATGTTACCGTACCTGTTAAGTATGTTGTCGGCATACTGTGATTGGACGGCCTGTCACATGCTACCGTACCTGTTAAGTATGTTGTCGGCATACTGTGATTGGACGGAATGTCACATGCTACCTTACCTGATTAGTATGCTACCGTACCTGGTTGGTATGACGTTTCAGTGGGATGATTGACCTTAGCTGTAGTGAGGATGTTAAATCTAGCAAACCTCGTCCCAGGACTCCGTGTCATAACAAGTTTTGCAGACTGTTCCCGAAGTGGCCACCACCTTGTGACGACGCGTCTGCAGGACAGGTAAGGAAATGTGTTTTGCATCTGCGCAATCGCTTAACATACAGCAGCAGAAACGGCAAGGAACCCTGTATAAGGCGTCATCGTGTTTTTACATGCAGGGTGACGCGGCAGGCCAATGCAATGACAGAATGAACGTTTCACAGGATGCTTCTCAATCAATGCAACATTGGAGACATTTCAAATTAACAATGCTGCAAATTGAATTTTGCTGCAATTCATTGACTACCTATACAATGGTATTCCTTTTGTGGAAAAATAGTTTTAAATGCTGTATTAGATAGTTCTCTTATTTGGGATCTTTTGTGAAATGGTATCTTAGCAAAAGGGCTAAGAACGATCATTTGTTTAAAATTAAATTGCAATAAACTAATTTAGTTTAACAACAACGATCTAAGTTAATTTCTAAACCATGAGATGCTTCAAGTAAACTATTCCGTTCAGAAGTTTGTTTGAAAATATGTAGACGGACAGCTGGACTGATGACAGGTGTTAGTCATTGTGATATGCTATATAGCTAAGCTTATATAATTACCAGAAATCAGATAAGGGTCCTTTTATGGTCAGTTTTCAGTGGGCTACACCTGGAAAAGTGATCTTTTACGGGGTTCACTTTCTGCGGTAGATTCAGTTTTCCAAGGCTCCCTGGTTTCATTTTCAAAGATGAAAAGTAATCCCGGTTCCATTTCCCACATGGGTCCATTTTCTACAGGGGTCCATTTTCCACATGGGTCCATTTTTTACAGGGGTCCATTTTCACGCCTTTACATCGTGACTGAGGTTCTTATACATATAAGTAATGCCACAAATTTACAAAGTCAAATCTACATGTAATTCCACGGTAAGGCCAATAATTGTTTGACATCTTTGAAAATCACAATTTTACTACTCGTAGAATCAATTCTATGAAGTAACACATAGGCTTTAATATTGAAATACATTTGACAGTACCCTTTTATTTATGCATTTTTCACTTGATGATACTTTTAGCTTTATTGACTGCTGATTATCGTTACGTGGACTTTTAAGGGTAAGAATGATTACCAAAAGTCTATTTCATCAGACCACGGAATTAGATAATTCCGTGATCAGACCTTACACTAGGTTGGAAAAGAAATTAAATCTATATATTAATCGTGCATCTCCCAATATTAGCTAAAATACCAAAGTGTCCCTTTAAGGGTACAGTAACATCTGATCAAGGGACTGATAGTATTTCGTGTTCTATTTATAGAACCACGTACGCGTCAGAATCATGAACTTCTAGTAGAAATGAAAATTGGATGGTCAAGAAGAGCCAAGAAGATTTATATCTAACGTGGCATTATACCCATATACATGTAACATAATACCATTAGCATTGTAATAGCGCTATTCTTGGTATGGTATCTATTTATGAAATATGAACAAACATATTTTGGAATTTATAGTACATGTACAGTAAGTTAACACGGAATTAGATTGCTATCTAATTGGTACACTACCCAAATTGGTACACGGTCAGAAAATTGTTCGAATAGTACTTTAAAATTAAATTTGAGCTTTTTCTTTTAACAGTATAACAAAATAGATATTTATCAGCATTTCTGCCGAATAGTTTTGTTTCAGGAACATATTAAGAGTACATGATGACTTCAAAGTAAACATATCAGAAAACCAGTAAAAACGACGTATGTCGACGAAATTTTGGAGGATTTTCAAGGGGTTAAATATAAGCATGTTTAAATGTTGACTTCTGGTCCTTATATTCGGATAATATAAAAGTGAATATATACAATTATAGTTCAGTTAAGTATCTATAAAAGCAATAAATTTTGTTGTAATCGGCACATCAACTTGTAGAAATAAAAAAAAAACATTCCATAGCCTGTGATATGGTGTACCAATTTGGGTACTATTTATGGCCGAAAAACGGACGAAATCTCACTCCGAGTTTAGCGTTCTATTTTCAAAAATAAATTACTTAGATATAAATCTTTTCCTGAAAATGAACCACCATAGGTTGTCTTTGTCAAGAATCAAGAAACATTCCAGACACAAGATCTGAATTTTTAAAGATCACTAAAAAACTGTCAAAATTGTACCAATTGTGGNTATTCTTTAGGAGGAGAGAGTCGGTTCGAATTGGATTTAAAATCCGGAATATCTCTACCATTTTCCGTATCAAATTTTAGAAAATATCAACCGGGCATCCAAGATGGCGGCCTCCATGTGCAATGTGGGATTTGTCCGTCGGCAGTTGTTGTTACTGCTGCGAAGAAAATCAGAAGGTCGTCATCTACTTTTTCAACGATTTTGTTCAAATATTTCGGCCAAAAAAGACGCTGACCATGAAGACCAAGTGTCCCAGTCTCCTTTGATTGCCGAAGATGACTATTTTGGTGTATCGATTCCCGAAGGAGATTGGTCAGTTCAACGAAATTCCAGTCTTAGTAAAGACGACATCTTTATAAAGTATCAGGTCGACTGTTTAACCGAACTTGAGAAAGACAAAATGCATCGTGTAAATATGCCTTTTGGGACGGTAAGTTTTGATACAATATCGGATGTGAAACATCAAATAGAGACAAGAGAGATGTTCAGTGAGAGAAACTTTAATCGTGGCGTGGAAGAAAAAATATTAGATAGAATGGCGCGCGTTAGTGATGAAACAGAAGCAGACAGTTCGGGAGAGAAATATTATATTTCCTTTCTAGATCAATTCAAGAAAGATTCGAAACATGGGACAACAGAATCAAACAAGTCGGTGTCAGATGCACAGGTGAAGGAACACAAGTCAAGGGCACAGAAAAAGGAGCTTCGAACTGTTGATTCTTTTCCGGAGAAAACAATAGATTCATTTAAGAGGACAGCAGCACATGAACACCATGGCAATATTGTATCACGAAAAACCTCACAGTGCCATTTTGACCAACCAGCTAAGGTGGAATATGGTGATTTAGCCATTTCAAATAAAGAAGGTAGCAATGAAAAAAGGGATGATAGTACAACTGATCTGAACTTTATAGATCAGCAATATATACAACAGGATGTTTTACGAACAAATTCAAAAAATTCAAATCGTTTAAACTTAAAAATATTACAGAAGTTTCATCCTGAGGAAGCGACACCAGAACTTGATCCCGATATGTTGGTTGCTTATACAGACAAAGTAACCTGTTCAGAAAGTACTGAACAAGACATCACTTCCTCCCATCAGAGTTTCACCAAAGCTCATCAAGAACATGCGAGTCCGACTCAGAAGTTGAAACAATTGGAATCTGACAACAACTTCAAGAGAAAAGCTTCTGGGAAGAAAAATGGATCTCAGCGTCGTCAAAAACATGAGAATCTGACTCCAGAGTTACAAAATTTGGAAACTACCGGCAACATGAGGACAAAATCCAAAGATATGAACTTTATAGATCAACAGTTCTTTGGAGAATATCTTTCTGAAGATCAAAGTTCAATGAAAACTTCTGTAGATAATGATGATAAAGACCCAAAATCAGATTTGAACTTTATAGATGAAGAGTATTTCAAAGAAACTGTTTCTATTTCTGCAAAAAAAACCAACAAACTATCAACTTCAGACCACAGAAAGTTAGAGGAAGAAAAAGTACTGACTTCAGACCATAGAAAATTAGAGGAAGAAAAAGTACCGACTTTAGATCATAGAAAGTTTGAAAAAGAAAAAGAAGTGACCTCAGATCATAGAAAGTTTCAGAAAGAAAAAATTGTTAAAGATGTTCATAAATATCCTGAAAACAAGAAAAACTCTAAAAGAAATAATCAAAATGATGAAGAGAATCACTTAAGTCAAATCCTGCAAGGTAACGTTATGGATCGACTTGAAAGAGATGCCATTGTGAAAAGGAAAAGAGCACTACTGGAAACAAAGAAAACAAAAGAGTCGGAAGATGTGATGGATACAGCTTATGGTACAGTGCAAATGCTCAGAAATAAACAAGGACGAAATTTAGAAGGTAATTATCAGAAGTAATGGGCCGATGAAAGAAAATAAGGGCGAAAAATATAATATGACCAATTCATCAATGCCAAAATTGAAAAAGCGATTAATCTTCCAACTTCAGGAATGACTCAGCTCAGAATTATTAGAACCAGTGAACTTTGGAACTAGTTTATTCAGAGGTAATTTATTGTTGTTAATTACTGTATGTGTTCAGTATTTCAATGAATGTGAAAATGATTATATGAAGAGTATCAACAGTATCTAAATAAATGTAATTGATACATTCGACTCATTTCTTTCAAAATTAACTAAAATCAATTGAGGTATCGTGGGATATTTTTCAGTTTCTGCCTCCTTTCTTCAGGGACCGTGTCTTTTCAGTGTAAATAAAGTTTAGCCTTTTCACAAAATTTGGAAATAATTCATGTATAATTTCACTTAGTACAAGCCAATACATAAAATGAAACAGTTGTCATTATGTGACATTGAAAAACAAAGAATCCAGTCAGGTTGGGGGGGACCAAGCACCTGGTTATTGATGGTCCAAAGTTGGTGGTAATAGGACTCGTGAGATGGATACCAAACGACATTCAGTAGAGTTCCATCGTTGAAGATTAATACAAAATATATATAAGATGGAGGATCAACATCTAGATTCCATGTTTTATTTATGGTTTCAAATTCAATGTTTTCTGGAAGAAACTTTTTAGAATATCAAGTAGATTGTGGATGATATTTATTTACAATTGTATTTGGCATTTCAACAGGTGGGGCTCCTCTGCGTGACAGTGAGGGCATGAAAATCATGAAAACTACAGTTCCTCAGCTTTACAAGATGACGTCGGTGGAGATCGTAAACATGATCACCAGGCACATCTTGTATGACAGTGGTAAGTTGGAGATAGTAAACATGATCACCTGGCACATCTTGTATGACAGAGTTAAGTTGGAGATCGTAAACACGATCACCGGGCACATCTTGTATGACAGAGTTAAGTTGAAGATCGTAAACATGATCACCTGGCACATCTTGTATGACAGAGTTAAGTTGGAGATCGTAAACATGATCACCGGGCACATCTTGTATGACAGAGGTAAGTTGGAGATCCTAAACACGATCACCGGGCACATCTTGTATGACAGAGTTAAGTTGAAGATAGTAAACAAGATCACCTGGCACATCTTGTATGACAGAGTTAAGTTGGAGATCGTAAACATGATCACC